ATCAAACCAATTATCATCAAATACCTTATTACAAGGCTACATTACTATCAAGAAACTATAACTATCAAGTACAAACTTATCAAACAACATAACCTTAAGTCATAACAGAACCCACATTTACATTGTAATCAAGAAAGTGACACTGTCACACCCGATCAAGCCGACGATTTTCAAAATAGCGACAAAAGCCGCTAGAACGAAAATTGTCGGCCTTATGAAAACTTTCGTTTTGTTTGAAAGGTTGAGATCGTAAACAATGAAATGATATAAATATCTTCTTCTGTAGTAGTCAAAAAAAAAAACTTTAAATATCAAAGCTCTAATTACTTTTTATCAAGTATAAAAGAGCAATGCTTTTGCAAAAAGCTCAATTCATTCAATAAATCACCTACGATTTGAATCACAACCTTTTCCTTTTTATTTTTATCTTTTTTTAACTTCTGAATAATCCAATCAAGTGGATTCAGGAACCTTTATATCTTTTTTATTATTCTTTTTACTTTGTACAACTCAGTCTGATCAACTTTACACGATCTGGTGGCCACGCATCGAACCTTTATTTTAACTTTACCTTTTAAACACTTTTGCTACGAACCTCAAGTCTTACAAAAGACTACGAACATACAAACTTCTATTTTTATTACCTTTTACAACACACTCAAACCCAAGACTTACAAGATTTACAACATATTAGACGAGTTTGGTAATAGAGTACTGAAGCAATTATTGTTTTGTCTGAGTTCAAAACTCATAAATCAAGCACCTTTAATATATTCAACAACGTCAACTACTACTCCAAGAACATGAGTTCATGTACATGAACTCATGTATTCCAATTTTTTTAAATTTATTTTTGTTATAAATACTTTGGTACTTTGGACAAAATAAAAAAAAAACAATTAAATCCATTCCAATTCTACTTCAAGTATAACAAGTCTTAGTACTTGGGATCAAACCTTCTCTTTTTCTTTTATATTTCTTTATCTTCTTTATAATCCAGTACAATAAGTATATTAATAATTATAGAACTCTTGGATCTTTTCTTTTTATCTTTACATTTTGCTTATGTATTTTTACTTTGATCTTATAAGAAGATCTGGTGGTCACTAGCGAACTAAATTCTTTATATTTTACTCTTTTTATACAATTTTCCTTTCTAGTCTAAGTCCAATAAGACTTACTTTGCACAGGAACCTACTCTTATCGTTATATTTACACACGAACTTCCCCAATCCAAAGAAGAAAATTACAGTACCACAAGATCAATACGAAAATTTCGTATAAACGAAATTTTCATATATTTGAAGTTTTCATATTTTTGAAAATATCGATACAAAAAGTAGTCCTGATGTCCTCTCAAAAACATATAAATAGCCTTAGTCCTTGCCTCCCCTTGCCAAAAAAAAATTCATTCATCAGTTAATTGAATCAATCACCTTTTCTCTTTATTTTATATTCATACAATAAACAGGTCTTAACTTTTGTTATAAAAGTTCCTGCTCTTATTCTTTTATCATCACGCCTTTACGAACCTAACAACTGATCTTTTAATAAGATCTGGTGGTCACTATACTATATAAACCTCTGCTTAAACGCAAAATTTATTCAAACCGTTGACTTATAACAAGTCTACTCAACCCACTCTAACGAAAGGAATAACAAAAATTACATTATCATTTATCATTTATTATATATATTATATTGCATATTGAAACAGTATAAATATCCCCAAATTATTCATGAAATAAACAGCATCTAAGAATTATCTTATCTTCAGATCACAATAACTTCTATTTTATCTTATATCTTAAGCAACAATTGCTTAATAACCTTTTTATTTTATTTTTCATTTTATCTCACAAGACTTAGCATTATATTGCTCTATATTGATCTTATATTAAGATCTGCACTATAATACCAAGCTTATAAAACTATTTTAACCTTTACTATTAATCCTTTTACGCTTTTTAATGCCAAGTAACAATTCAATAAAAATATTATTAATTTTGCTATAAAAAATAGATTCTTTTCTTTAATTTCTTTATACAAACACTTTTGATTAGATGTGGTGTCTGCCCTTATGCTCAAACTATCATCAATTTTTATTCCAAATTAACGTTTAATTGCAATATCTTCATAAGACACAAATTTGATAAAAATATTTTAATCAAGTAGAATGTAACTATGCAAGTTATCATCAAGTCTTATTAAAAGGCCAATTAATAAAATTTGTAAAGTATTTTTCGCAGAAAAAGTAAAAAAAAAATAGATCATTATCTTTTATAATAAAAGTAATGGTTTGTTTATTGTATGAAAATAAGAATAAAAAGAGAGAAAGTATGATTGCTTCAATAAATTAACGGACTGGTAGTGATAAGATTAATTCTTATGTGAATGGGAAAATAGAAGAGGCTCGGATCTTCTAGTGTTTTTGCAAGTAATGACCAATCTCTGTACAAAAGAAAGAGTTCCCCCTTTTTATTTAATTTAAAACAATGCAGTATTTATGAAATTTCATAGTTGATGTCCTGCTATGATCACATGTGGTAAGGTAGTATCGATCTTTAACTAAATGTGACGACGATAGTGTATATATTACACACCGTAACAATAGCGTATAGACCCAGTCTTTTATTTATAAAATCCCTGGACCTACATTTATCTCAAGTAAGGGAATAGTGACTAAAGCGCCTATTATTACTTGTTTGCGGAGCCTTACGCCCTACATGTACGTGCACTGAACCCACTATATATCCACTGTTCCATATATAGCATTTAGCTAGGCGATAACTCGTAACAACCCTTTATATGATATCAACTGTTCTAGATCTTATCTGAGTTAGCTACTCTCACACAAGACTTTATATCATTAAGTATTGTATCACACTTTATTGTCTAGTATTATATTGGATGAGCTTCTTTATTGATGTTTATCAAATATGTGATAACATATTTGTTCAATAAAGGTTATCATCAGTTAGCTTATCACAACAAGGTTATAGAGAATGACCTGTAAATGGCGCGCCTTCACTAGATCGTATGACACTTCAAGGATAAACTTTTATTGTCTGTATTTTAATGTTTATTAAGTTACTCAAAGTCTTAAATATAGATTTCAGTGTGGCCGCATTATATAGTATATCTCTTCAAATACGACAGGAATATCTAAGGACAGAAGTTATGTCGTGATAATTGACTAAAGTTTTATTAGAAAAAGATGAGTGGGTATTTATACGAAAATTAGGAATGTAATATATTAAAAGAATCAGCTTAAATTATCGAGCTCTTAATTAAGGATGATCAGGGACGTCAACATTATGCAGGAGTTCATATTTAATCGTGACACCAACATAAGCACTAAGAGGAATATAAAACGATGCCTTAGCTTCCAATTCTTGAATGGCAGCAAGCCGAGAATCTCCGGAGACATTTTGCCAAGTGCTATTTTCCTTGATGGTAAATCTTCTTTTTATGCCACTGTGATATTTTATACTTGAAAATTGATCAGAAGAAAGAGACTTGTGCCAACGAGGCCGAACAATAGTTCAAAGATTGATTGTTTTATTTATGAGAAAGATTGGAAGGCTATTTATACTAGTTGAGGTTCCTGAGTATAGATTAAGAGATAGTTACGACCGAAATATGATTTGACATGTATAAGAAAAATTTTTATATTGAATGAGAATGAGATGATTCGTTTACTGAACTAAAACCTCATCAATGGTTATTGTACAGGTTGGTAACCTATCGGGTTCAGGTACAATCGTTTATAATTCATTTCTAAAGGTTTAACCGGCTTGGTGTAGTACTTTAAGTAAGTCAAAACATGACAGCCACCAATGACAGCGTTGACAAGGACTGGTGATACATTCACCTTGCAAGCATAAAACATCTCATCGTCAATATTCTCGTGCTAAGAGTCACGTACGTCATCTATGAGCCTTTGAAAATGCTTCCAGGAAAAGGGAGCAGCGCGATCTTTTCGACTGGGGCGTTTATCCTTGATTCTTGGCTCGTGGATGTTGCGGTCAGGAAACAAGTTACCCACGAAAAGCCCAATGGTGCCAGCAGTCTCAGCAGATTCTTCCGCATTTGGCATGTTATCCAACGAGGCCTTTAATTCACCAACTTCTTCTTTTAGTTCAGTAACTTGTGTCGTAGAACAATGTCTGCTTAAGGACTGACATTGAGATAAACGATTGTAATCGGTATGAATAGAGTGAATTCATACATGATAAGATTACGTGTACACACTTTTAGTGATAAATCAAATTAAATAGAATCTCTCTTTTAAATATGAGTCATTACTTCTTTATATAAAAGGATATACTTCTTTAAAAGATGATCCCTCTCACGGTAAAAGCAGCATCATAATCCAGATCATGAAATGAACAATAAGATCAGTGTCAGGAACGAATTAAAAGTTTTCTTTATGAATTCAGGAACTGTTAATCAATCACATCCTCAGTAATTATAATCCACGCTTAGAATAGTGACTTACCAGCCATTTGATACCAACTATAAATAGTAGATCATTAATTTATTTATATGTTCCTTCTGTCTTTATCTCTGAATAAAGATTAGTCTCAAGGGCACTTCCTTTGTTTTTGTCTTGTGTCTTATAAACTGTTATATAGTATCATTTTCTTTTTCGCAAATTACTCATGCGATTTTAGAATAAGAGAAGAAAGTTAACTTTTCGTTTATTTTTGATTGAACACTTACTTTTTTATATGTACTAATCTTCTAAAGGATATTCCAAGTCATTTGAAAAAAAAACTTATAATTTCAGCATTTTATTCTGCTTTTGCAAGGTTTCCTTAGTATTTTGGAAATGAAAAAAGGCGACGTTCACTTTCTGAAAGTGAATGGAAAATTGGCTTTTATTTTCTTGATGAATTTTTCTTTAAAAAAAAATACGAATAATATATTGTCATATTTATCCTTCCTTTAATAACTACTCTGCGTGTTAGATTACTCCATTATCATATTGTTGACAGTCATTCTGCATGTAGCAGTATTTTTACTAATTTCATTTGTAACATGCTGTAGTGTAAGCTATTAATTTTGTATACTAGTCGTTACCTTGTTTTAATGTACTCCTCATCTTGTTTCTCACCAATAAAGAGATCCAAGAGTCTCATCGGCATATAGTGTTTTTTCTCCTTCTTATAACTGCGACATAGTAAGTAAATATATAATCAGCTAAATGTCACATATATGAAAAAAACTACTATGGACGATCATGCTTAATATATATCATGCGGTCACTACTGCTACAAATTTTATTCAAGTTATTATTTTATTCTTTTACTTAAAACCTTTAAATACAACAAGACTAAAAAGTTAAACAAGTTATTAAAACAAAAAGAAGTCTTGCTTTTCACTGTAATACTTTCTATTTTATATTACTTCATATTTACTTTGCTTTATTCAATACAGTTTGATCAATTTTACAAGAATTTTTAGTCAAACAGCAAGCTTTTTTTGCTTATATCTTTAACTTTATACTTCTGTATCAAAACATCTGAGGCTTTCATTGCAGAGCTTATTTGTATTTTAACTGCTTAATAACTTAGAGCCAACATCCAATTATCAATTGTACACCAGACTAGCCTCAAAATCGATGTTAACCGCTGAATGCGTCCGCCCCCACCCAACCTTTTTAGTTTTTTTTAAGTACTTTTATCTTGTTTGAATAGCTAAAAAATTTCATGAACTAAAAGCACAAGGCTTTTAAATCACACTTCCCTTTGTATTGCTCTTTATAACCATCCTTCTTCTCCTTTCATTGTCTAGTAACTAAATCTCTTTAATATCTTTATGTTAAAATCACATTCACTCAATACCTAACGCTGTTTCATCATGTTAAATAACAAAAGTTAATACGTGAAAAGAAAATCAGAGCCATATTTTACATACATACAGTAGCTGCAGCCAAATTTTAATAAAAATTCCTGATGTCCTTCTTTTCTCTTATATACATCGTCTGGTGGTTTCTCCAAGCATCAAACTACAACTCAAGTACACTAATTTATCAACAACCTCGCCTATAATCTGTAAGCTAACAGAATGGTTTTCTATCAGATCTTTCAGTTGACTTTTTCGTATTAGAACAATATATATAGCTTTGTCTTCTGATGTTCCTTATTAAAACCAACAATTGGTAATTGTTCTATATTTTTTCAATAAATAGACTCTAATTTTATCATAAAAGGTTTCTGACCGTATTCTTTGCTTTATTCAATACAAGTCTTTTTAACAAACTCACTGGTTAATCTTAAAAGAAAGAGCTTATGGCTACTTATAAACTTAACTTTTAAATTTGCATTCAAATACTTGCTTAATTATAATTGATTTATCAAATTTCTACTCTAGAATATGCCTACAACAGGCACTCAAAAAAATGACAACGTTTAAAATTATATTGTTCACTACTGAAATCTATTGGCCGTACTCTATTTTTAAATGGTATAAAAATTTCGAGGGTAGTTTCTTTTAATTGTGTGTGATAATATACCAATTAATTTGAAATAACTCTTCTTCTTTCTCTTAAATACCTCAATCCTGCCTGAATTTAACAACTACATTAACCAAAATTTTTTATTTACTTTAGTTTATTTTCACGGCCCAACTGATCAATCAAAATTTGCTGATCACTATATAAAATCATCCAATAATCTAATTACGAGTCCAAAATAAACCTATTACAGACTTATTGATTAGCTTTTTATTAAATAAAGGAAATAACTTTCAAGTTACAGTAATCTTAGAATTATGTCGGTTATTATATGAATCGTAAATCAACAGACTTTAATTATAATGATAAAACGGCATAGGTAAGGAAAATAACCATATCAAACAAGCAAAGATGATTTAGCCATTAGTCTGGATTTTCCACAAACGATAGATTGGTTCGCTCAAAAAGCATTTCTAGCCATGCTTAAAAAGTTTGTATTGAGGGTTTGTTTTTTGATGTTCACTTATAATTATCATTAACTCAGTCACTACTACTTCAACTATTGTTTCCATTTCTTTATATTTATACAATAAATAGGACAAAATTTTGATATAAAATACTGAGTCTAATTTATATTTTTATTTAACGGACTATTCGATTAATATTTTACCAAGATCTAGTGGTTGCCTTTTACACAGATTGTTGTTAATAGTACTTGTAAATTTCTTATAACAAATATGACTCTATACAACTTAAAAAATAACAGTAGCCAAAATTATCTCTTTAAAATAAAAGCATGACAGTGCGAATAAACATATACATACCTTATTTTAGTATAAATTTCTTCTTCAATTCTTTGAAATAAATAAAAATTTGTCTTATTTTTATACAATTTTTTGATAAAGGGTTTCTTTTATCTTACTGCTTTTCTTTTTTAAAAAGTGATCACAACTATCGCTGATTTTGCGCCAACAGGAGACAGCAGCCGCTCTGTCGTAGTTTATTATTAAGCTATTTATTCTATGACGTTACTCTTTCTAACCAAAGCCAAAATTAAATTTCGAAATAATATGCCATTGCGCTATTTTCTCACATATATTATTGTAAAGTATAAGATATAATAATTTTAAAGACGTAAAATCAATAAACAATGCTTAACAACTTATTTAATTTAAATTGAGCTTCTCTCTTGATTTGAATCATTTTTTATTTCATATCTCGAACTCGACTAATAAGTCTAATCCAAGTCAAATCTTTTTTTGCTTTAACATTAGTCTAATGCTTTATTCAGAAATTATACACACATTGACAGAAAAGATTATAAAATGATAATATCAGGAAACAAATAATGCTACAAATAAGATCTCACTAGAAGGATAAGAACGGGATATAAAAAAAAATAAGTACATCAGTTATTACATTAATATTAATACTTAGATTAATAGAGAGAAACTAATAAGTAAGAGGAAAGCAGAAAAATGAATAAGCATTTAAAAGGTATTTTTAATATGTTACCAAAAGTGCATATTGAATAGTACCAGCGATAACTGGTTTGGAAAACTAAAAGAAAAGAAATAAATAGTGGAGAGCAAAGGTAACGGGCGTGATCAAGTTGGCATAAGAAACAAACTACCCACAGTTAGTGTCAGCTAATTTTTGATTGTGCTCTAAGCTACGAATAAAGCGTATTGATATATATTAGAAAGATGTTCATATTATAACGTACCTTTGAGCCACCTGGGAAATGGATTAATCTTTTGATTCGATCCAAAAAAAGAAAAATCTCTTTCTAAAGGCTATGTCGTATTCGTAGAGGTATACTATATAATGCGGTCACACTGAAATCTATATTTAAGGCTTTGAGTAACTTAATAAACATTAAAATACAGACAATAAAAGTTTATTTCTGAACTGTCATACAATCTAGTACACCGTTTACAAAGCACGAGGGGCTTCCTTTTCAGCTTAATTAGTCTTCACTTAAACTGCGCTTTGGTACAACTGGAGAAATACTCACGTACAGAAAGGCGCAGTAGGATTGATAGCTTTTGCACAATCAATTGGGTCCTTGAATCAGTTCTAACGAGTAGACAGAAGAACTCATAAAGGGGAAACTTGTTCAATTATGGAAATATCTGTCAGAATAGTTTAATAAGTAGTAACATCTCACGCTGTACTCACTCTAGATTGTCATTTGGTATAAACATGGTAGATCTTTTAGCAGTAGTAAGATTTTGGTCTAATTCGATTAAAAATAAACTTCCCCATATCCTTACTCATTGAATCTTCCGTCTATATCTTTACTGGAATACCAAGAATACCAAAATAACAAATCCTACTTCACCCCCTTTATTATACTTGACAAAACACTGATTTTTTCTTATAGTCTTATGAATAATATTCATGCGACTATATTAATTTCCAAAAATCTTCATGCCTCTTTCTTTATTTTCAAGCATACTTTAATCCAATTGATTATAGAGTAATGCGATCGGATGGCCACTCTTGCTATTTAGTGATAAATGATGGTTTAAAGCAAAGACAAAAATAAGTATTCTTTTATATTAATTCATTAATTTGAGGTAAAGACAGAAGGACCATACAAATGAACTAATGATCTACTATTTATTGTTGTTACCAAATGGTTGGTAAGCAACTATTCTAAGCGTGAATTATAATTATTGGCTGTTTACTTCGCTCTTGATGCTTTTCTTATTTTTAAACTCTTTTTTAAGGTCGGGGTTATGAGCTTTCCTCTACTGTGAAAAGGATCATCTTTTAGAGAAGTTCATCCTTTTAGATAGAAGGAGAGATGTTTTATACTTCATTTATCCTGTTTATAGCAGCTTATCTCAATGTTAACTAGAAACAGACGTTACGCTACCACGATTCTTACTTTAACCTCTTTACTTAAATGGTCTATTCATAAACCTTCGATCCTATCAAGATCACTGGCGTTAAACAAGCAATTAATTAGTGCCACATATCTATATTGATGCAGATCCTTTAAGTCCATGCTGTAATGGGCAAGGTGTTTCGTTTAAAAAACGAAGGTTCTACTTTATATTGAATATGCTGTAGCATTTTTTTTGGGATTGCTTTAATATACATTTAAAGTGAAAAGTGTTTGTTTTTACCTTGTAGTAAGTACAAGAAAACGAGCTGAACAAGAAGATGTATGTGTGAAAAAGGGTAGTATTTAATTCACTAGTGCTTTATTATATTCTATCGTTATTAAAGTTTATTTAATTTTATTTTGTACAGTTTTTGGTATACTTCAATTAACCTATCAAGCTCTAGAATCAGTATTAAGAGAACCATTTTTATAACTAACATCGGCAGCTCAGAGAAGCGCTTCAGCAAAGGAATCTTCGCCTCCAGTAGATATTGAAAGTCTATTAATTTTATCACTTTGAATGTAGAGCAAAGCCAATTATTGAAGAGAAACGTGTTTAGTAATAATAGTAAACTTAGTTTACATTGAAAAGAAGCATGAAATATAGCGGTTGAAGGTCATTCTGATGCTTTCTTCACAGTTTAGAAAGAGTTCACCATCGTTTATATCGAAAAAAAATTTCGCATATACATAGTTTCCATATCCTTTACAGTTGGATATACTCTTACTAAACTATTATTATATAGGCTATTGTACCACTCTTTCTGCTAATAATTTAACCAATGATATGTAAGCTCCAGGAAATAAAAATATGCTGTTTTATGTAGTACTGCCTTGGGAAATTCTCCAAGTTAATATTCTGGACGTTTTATAATGGTGTTGGCTTAAGAAAGAAAGCCACTAATAGCTATTCAACAGAATGGTTCAAAGCCAGCGTATATTGGAGAAATTTAGAGAGTTCATATGAAGGCTATTATCCCGAAAATGCTGAAGATCCAAGATGGATAATGAATAACATACCCTTCCATACGCCTAAAGGGCATCTATTGACATGTGACTGGATAAACATATAAGGGAGATAGCCTGGACATACTCAAGAGTAACTATCAATGGTTTGATTTATACTGAAGTTTTTTTTTTGTAGTCCAAGTCTCATCAGAAGACCTTGAGATATTAAGAAGTCATGCCTTCACCATTTTCGCTTAGCTTTGATTGTAAAGTGGTTACTCCCAGCTTTGTATAATCTGCTAAGGCTTATATTACCTCTGTAACCAAAGGGTGACGGACGTTGCTCTATCTGTGCTGGCTAATATTATGCAGATGTTTAAAAGTCATATCCTGATTAAGCGCGATGTTCAACAACAGTAGCTGTAATGGGACGATATTGAACGAACTGAGTAACAGCGCTTGTACACATGTAGTATCCGAATTCGAAATAGCTGTTCTTACCTTACTTTAACGGTGATCATTACATAAAGATGGAAATTGTATGAACGCATTGATCAATCTAGTGGTGGGAGGTAACATCAAGAGCTAATACAAAATAGGCAATTGGTGTTACTCAGTTTACTCATTCTCTACCACTTGACATACTCATGCTTCCTTTCAGGCATAGCAATGTGTATATCACGTTGATATATGTTAGCCATTATCCATCGCATTGTTTATGCTTAAGTAAAGCCCCAAGAGTCAGCAAATACAATTCCGTATTTGATGATTATAATGTATACTCGGCAGTGTGGATCCACATTCTCCAATTGCTATCTTATAGGATGACGCCTCCTTATTTATATAGAGCTGTATATTGATGCATCTGAAAGTAACATACATATGCCTCGCATGTATTTCAGTTGAACGTCATATTAGCCACAATGGTAAACGTTGACCAATTCACGATCATCGGCTTACACAAAGTGAAGTATACATGTTACAGGTGCTATTGACTGATACTAATGGTACTGTAGACTCAATAAGGGGCAGCGATTTTTTTCATTATACCGTTCTTCGGTAATAAATATAAGGCGGTTAGAATAGTCTAAGGTGCCAAGTTAATTGGAAAGAAGACTCGTTTCTTCCAGGGTCATACAGTTGTTTGACCAAAAAATACACAGACCTAAAACAGAAAGAAGAGGATGCCTTCTTTATTTATGTACGTAAATGAGTCCTGAAAAAGTTATTTCTGCATTTTATAACCAAATTTAAATAAATAAATACAATGGGTGGACATGCTTAGTATGCCGTACACCATTGTCATTTGAACATATCGATCACTTGACACGATAATCAGGGCAGGTGCATCTGACATGACTTCTTCGTTAAAGTCAAGCTGCGGATCACTCAAAAGATATTGGAATTTGTTAGTCCGAAAACATTCATGGACTTTTGAGCAATTGCACTGTTCATAACATGGATTGAGCATTCCATTTGTTGCATAATTGACGATATAAGCAAATCATGAGATCGAAATATAAACTCATAGCCGTGGGGACAGATAGCAAACAAAAAATGAATACAGCCTAGCTGTCATTCCTTCTAGTGCTTTTATTTGATTAATAACTTATGATTTTACAATAAAAGGGGTAACAGCTTTATTGTTCATATGACTTGGCCCGTGCAACCTTTACTTTTTTTTTCTATTCTTTGCCCGTCTTTTTATGCATGCATGTTAACCAAAGTAAATAGATTCTATAGAAAAGAGTGAGGAAAGATAAAAAAGCATAATAACGCAGTATGTTAATTATATGGTGTATCATCAAATCCAGAGAGGAAAAAAAAGGAATCTATTTTTGATTGTCTATAAACGGCAAGGTGCATCGTCAGCTGGTAAAACAAAAATAAACCTATTTAAAGCCTTTACACTTTTCGCTATCTATAATTTGTTCCTTTTTTTCTCTTTTGTTCATATAAATCTATAATAGCAATCATGTATTCGGGTCAAGAATTCATTGATAACCAAGAACATATGTTCATAAGCAACAGTCCAAGCAATATACAAAGAAACAGTTTCAGTCAATCTGCTTATCATCCTATTCACAATAGGAGTAGTAGTAATAGTAACTTTGGGCCAATAGCAATTCATAATAGCACGTTTAATACGGATCCATCAACTGCTTGGTTTAGTACAAGCTTAGACTCAAACACATCCTCCTTTGGTGGAAGGGATTTGGTGATTACTCCCTCAAATTCTACTGGTCATATCATTGATAGTTATTCAAATGTAAACGAAGACGATGATCTAAACCAGAAAAAGTAAAAAAGAAGTTGTTACATTGGATATCATATAAACTCTTTTCTTTTATAAAAGCCATCAAGAAATCTTTGAAAAGAGAAGAAGGCGCAGAGAATCGCATAATGCAGTAGAAAGAAGAAGACGAGATAACATTAATGAAAGAATTCATGGTGAGGTCAAATAGCCATCAGATTATGCCATACTAATACTTGCTCAAAGAATTATCTACCTTACTTCCAGACCATCTACTGGACTCTGTGCCAGCAAGTGCCAACGTAATGACAGTGACTACTGGACAGTCTGGCACCAATGGAAAGCCCATCAATAAGGGAACTATACTCAAACTGTCAGTAGATCACATTAAAGAATTAAAAGAAGAGGTGATAAACTGTCAGAATAAGATTAAAGAACTTGAGCAGCTTGTTGAACTGGCCAAACAAGAGAATAATGCCAGCCATCTACTTCACTCTCAGTATCTCAATCCTCGACCAAGACAAGAGCGCATGAGTTCAATACAGTTTCAGCAGCAATTTGGTAAACTTCATATTACTACTACGCCTACCAGCATGACTGAATAGTTCATGGCTCCTTTTTTATTTTTATCTTTTATTTATTTTATGATATCCTTTTGTTTCACAAACCTATCAATTTTTATAAACACATACACATTCTTTAGCCATTATGCTTTCTCCTCCCTTTCTTTTATTATAATAAACAATGTCCTTTAATTAATCAATTCAGCAACTTGAAGGTCACAAAGTTCTTCAACTTTTTTGGTGGGTTCAGTTATGACATCGGCTTTCAATAAAGTGGATAAAGTCACTTCCAATGCACTACGTGAAACTTGATGGTGATGAGGTGCATAGGAAACTGTTTTGAACCAGTTCTTGACATCTTCTGCAGAATAAGACAAGATATCGATAACTTTTTGAACAGATTCTCTATCCTTTTGGTCCATAAACTGCTTAGTGGCTTCCTGAATTGCACTCAAGACTTTCTTCAACTCTTCAGTATGGTTTTGTAATAGATCTGTATGAGCAGCAAATAAGAATGCTGGCCAGGGGGGCGTGATTTGTCCGAGGCGTTTGACTTCTCCAGAGTCATGGTAGGGTTTGGTCGTGAAAGTTTCCCACATGAAATAATCAGAGCTTCCGTCATTTACTGAGTCGCGCATAGCCTTGAAGTTATTGAGAACATTGAAGCCAAATGGTTTCTTATCCTTCTCAAGCCATCCTTGTTGGTCAGCTAATACATAGGCCATAATATGAGATCCCGAGCCGTAACGAGAGATAGCACAGTTGGTATTACGAAGTGTATCAACAGAATTGTGTTTGGATTCCTTTCCTGCAGAAAGCGCCCAACCTTGGGGAAATAAAAGCGTTTAGCAAATGAATGACTGGGTTTATCAAATCTTACAAAGTGGAGCATCGACGTAGGTGCCAACGATCTTGTACCAGTCTTGGCCCTTGCTGATACCAGCAACAAGTCCTTCTGTAAGTGCAATAGCCAAGTCAATAGACTTTTCTTGAAGTTTAGAGGTCATCTAATGATAATTTTTGGTGAATATCTATACTATATATATATATATATATATATATATATCACTTTACTTCGCCAGTGCCGCCTATGGTTGCATGGGTTCAATATGATATGAATTGATATACGTGTTTTCTTACCTGGACATAAGACCAATTCAACCTCAACACCTGTCTTTTTAAAATAATCATTGTCACGGGCAATGTATAAAGGAGTAGAAAAGTGCTCAGGAACTATTGGCTACTATCAGTCTCAAGTCTATATCTTTTCTCTCTTTTTTACCGTAGCCAATTCGAATAGTGGTTGTCATTTTGAACTGAAAAAACGAAAAACGAGAAAAGGGATAAATGTCTACTTCAAGGAGTATTATTTCTCCGAAACCAGAGATAATGCTTGTGTTCCACACGTCTATCTATCTCTCTCTTTTTCCTTCTTCTTTCCAGGCACAATTATTTTATTTAATAAAAGAAAAGACAAAAAAATAAACAAGCAATGCTTTAACGGTAAGACTTTTGGTAACGGGCACGAGCACCAGGACCAGCGAACTTCTTGGGTTCACAACGACGAGGATCGGCAACAAGAAGAGTACGGTCATATTGAACAAGGATTTCCTTGATTTCCTTCTTGGCAGCTTCATCAACGTACTTTTGATAGAAAGCAACAATGGCCTTGGCAAGAGCTTGGCGGATAGCATAAACTTGAGAGACGTGACCACCACCGTGAGTGCGGATTCTGATGTCAACGTTGGCGAAACGTTCTTCACCCAAAAGAAGAATGACTTCGTAAACCTTGAACTTTAAGATCTCGGGTTCAAGAAGTTCAAGAGGAGAACCGTTGATACGGATGAGACCACGTCCACGCTTGCAGTGAGCAACAGCAGTGGCGGTTTTCTATTAAAGGCAATTAGAACCTGTCAATCGTTTTCATTGTCGTTTGCTATAGTTAAAAAAGAAAGGGCTGAGAAAAAGAGAAGAGGTTTGGTTGTAAATGTTGTATAGTTCCACTAGTAAATAGCATTGTAAATCTGCAAATGACATGTAATTCCTGCATTGTACATATTCTCTCTCACTGTGTATGTCTCTCTCGTTCTTTCTCTTCATTGTTGCTTCCCAATGCTGATCTGATTCATCAAATTTACTCTTTTACATGTACATATTCCGTCTTTCTTTTCGTCTCTTTCTAAATCTCTTATTTATCCCTCTGTCTCTTTCTCTTTTTGCTGCTTTCTAATTTAACATCTACAAATGATATACCTTGCGACCGAAAGTTTGAACTGCTTCCATTATCAGCTATTAAATGGATGAGTCTTCTCTTCAAACAGATGATTTGCCTTTTGGTAGTTTTTAGAAGAGTTACCTTTTAAGTTAAGAGAGAAGGAAAGAAAATCACAAATGGATGCTTTACTTTTCTTGATGTCTCTGCTTGGGCCAGAACTACTTGAAAACGTGAAGGGGCATGTAAGTTTAGTGAAGCATTGTCCGGGCCGGACTCATAGGCTATCTCAACCAGAATCCAAGATTGGGAGACAGGTGCCTTATTTGGCAGTTTTAGCTAGGTCGTGCTGAGTTCGTAAATGGAAAAAAGCACAGGCTTTAGAGCCACTGTGTATTGCTTGATAAATCTACAGTTCATGTCTGTATCAAGTACAAGTGTAGCTTAAAAAGGCTAGCCAAACTGCAGTCTCAATGTTCAAAATATGAATGCAAATAAAAACGTTTTCAGGTTAATTATCAATCAAGAAAAGGAAGCGAGAATGTTTTACGATCAGTAGCCATTGTCTTTGCTTCCTGTAAGCTGTGGCAGATGAAATAAGCTAGTATTTGTATGCAGCATATTTTCCTTTTCTTTGAAAAGAAAAACGCTGAATAACTGAATCAATGGAAGTTCTTCAAGTAGTATGAAGTTAAACTACTCTATAGACTCTTATGCTACATCAAGAAACATGACGTGAATAAGCTGGCTTCTACCTGCATTAAATCAAATTGAACAGAACACAGCTACGACCAATTTAACTATTACTGTATCAAAATCCATTGTAGGATTTCATGGCAAGTAGAATTTATTAGTGTATCCTTTGGTGTACATTAATTTTTGGTATTACTGTTATAGATGTCCATGTACATCTCGAATCAATAATCAAGCTTGGTGAAGATATTTACGTTCGTAGAGCTTATATGGTAGTATCAGTCTCTGCAAGTTCAGAGTTACTTCAAAAACTCTCTACTAAAATAACAGGCATGTGTTGATTAATTTGGTCAAGAAAGTTAATAAAAACAAGCGCATTGTTAAACAACATGAATTGACGTTGGAAGCGTTGTGTTTGGAGGCATATAATCAATAATAAACTCAAATTAGTAATCAGATTGATGTATTTATGAGACTAAGTTTTCATCTTTCTGACCTACATCTTCAAAATGCCGAGTTCAATGTCAAAGATACTTTGTGTGTATGTGTACCGGAAATAAAAGCGGTCTTGTTTATGGTTGATAAATGTCTATCTTCTACTTAATGAAACCTGTGAGATGTATTTAATCCATATAATGCTCATATAAACTATTGTCTCGGTTAGAGTTAAAACAAAGCTGGATTTGTTTACCTTTATTGTTTGGTGGAAAACCTTTCAAGGAGACTGATATTTAAGCTCCGGTAGTATTTTTTTGGGATTAAAAACAGTACCCTTCTACGAAATTCTTTTACTCTTTTTTCTATTTCAAAACAACTAAACTACAATCATGGCTTTAAAGCGCATTAACAAGGTAAACTATTTTATTCAATACAAATATTAGCAACTGTGCTATCTATTACTCTTTCTTTCTTTGTTTACACTTTATATTTGCTATCATCTTGATAGTCTTTACAAAGAAAGGATAACTGCGTAATCTCGGATGAAGATGCTAACAAGTTCTTTTTTTGCTTATAGGAACTCAAAGATCTCGAGCGCGACCCTCCATCTTCCTGCTCCGCAGGCCCAATTGGCGATGACTTATTCCACTGGCAAGCAACTATCATGGGTCCTGAAGATAGTCCTTACCAAGGGGGTGTCTTTTTCTTGTCAATTCATTTCCCTACTGACTATCCTTTCAAGCCTCCAAAGGTATGTTTTACTTTTAATTTATGCATATTCATCGAGCTGACTATCAGAAATAGATCAACTTTACTACTAAAATTTATCACCCTAATATCAATGGTAATGGTAGCATTTGTTTAGACATTTTGAAAGATCAATGGTCTCCTGCACTCACAATTTCAAAGGGTAGGAAAAATGATATTGAAGGAGAGAAAAAGAGAAAAAGAGAAAAAGAGTATACTGATATGTGTATAATAGTTCTTCTGTCTGTCTGCTCCCTTCTCACAGATCCCAATCCTGACGGTAAAGTTTAAAACAAAAAAGTAGAAGAGAGACTTATGTTTCTTTAGATCCACTTGTCCCCGAATTAGCTCATATTTACAAGACAGATCGTGCACGATATGAAGCTACAGCTAGAGACTGGACAAGAAAATATGCTAGTAAGTTTAGAAAAAATAAAGATACTCAAGATTGTATATTTAACTTTTTAAACAGTGTAAAAAGAGGAAGGTGCATGCAATTTAAAAAAGAGATTGGAAGTTGTATTTGTATAAATAATAAATAGAAATTGCAACTACAATGTCTTTAAAAAGTAATATCGCAGGCTCTGAAAATAAATATCTTTCTTATTGCTTAATAAGCTTCCTACGGCTCCCCAAGTTTTCACAAGGCACGCTGATTCTTGGCTAATCATCTACTCCTTTTATTTATGAGATAGGCAAGCTTCAACACAGCTGTCTTTTCGAGGAAACCACTTTCCTGGGTGACTCTGTGGCTCCTAATAACCTTTTGAACCTCTTTAGCTTTTGAGCCCTGAAGCGTTTTTTTGTCCTCACTTTTCTTCTAATCTCATTCGGGCGGGGTTTTTACTATAGCGCCTCAAGTAAATAAAACTTGTCGTACCTAACCAATCTGTCATGAAGACCTACTACTTGCCTGTATATTGTTTAACCTTAATAAAATGAAATGGCTTCATTGATTACTAGTGATGAGACCATACAATATTATCTATACTTTCTATTGCGACATTTATCCCAGCAATTATGCAAACGTTACACTTTTACAAACATAGTCGATCCAAGAAATATTTTACGTTTCAATGTATTTTTAGCTGTAGGCCCAGAATTGATCTATTAGACTGAGCTCGGGAGAATATGAAGGAAGATATATACAAAAGTATCCTTGAGAGGTCAATATATAATGCTTGTAGTTTATTATTTTGTAATGTAATGAATATAATACTACACTTATTATAAAAACTGTGTATTCAAAAAGGAGTAGGACTACTCTACAAATCACAGACTAATACACCCTCTTCATAAACGCCAGAAACAATAAGTTTGGAGCGTTTGATATCGATAATACCAGTTGAAGAAGTCCCATAGAGACTTCCATCATCCTGCAAAATCATTCTAGTTTCACCTGTAGAAATATCCCAAATATCAATTTCAGAAGGAGACTTGGGAGCCTTATTGATATCAGGAGCAGCGATCAGCTTGTAAAATTCAATAGGCTTTGGATGAGTGGCAATTGCCAAGATTTCCTTTTCAGGGTAATAGTGAAGGTTGTCAGGGGAACCATTCACCCTAGTTTCATGTTCAAAGTCAAGAGAAACATAAGGAAGCCCCCGTTCGTCCGTCTTTCGGATGATTTTGTATTGACGCACTTTTCCTGCACTTGTTTCAGAGACAAACAGTACATCATCAGTACCGGCGACACCATTACTGAAGGCGAGTCTATCAATAACCTTTTGAGTTTGATCAGTACGAGCATTATAAAACATGACATTGGTCTTGGGGAAAAGAAAAGTCTCGGCCTGTTTAAGCAATGGTGAGGAATAGTAATGGTCGTTTGAGAAGAAGAAAGAGGGGGTCCCATCTTGAGATCTAAAGCGGTCATCTTGAAGAATATGGATTGAATTGGGACTATAGAGTTCTGGATGGCGAATAGTACGCTTGTGGACAAGTTCATCCTGTTGAACAGTAAAGATCTCAACTGATGGAGATTCGTTATGTGGTAAATTGATCGTCAACAGTGTCTTTTTTCCAGACACAGGATCGACGTACAATGAAATACCCAATGGGTGGTAGTCTTGCAAGGGACTCATATCCAATTTTTTAAGATCGGCAGGTTGCTGTGTCAAGTGGCGTATTAACAGTTTTATAAATACAAAAGCGCGTTTTAGTCATACCTGATTATAATCTACTTTCCAGATAGCGCCATTTTCAACAGGTTGACCGGGTGCCAACTTGTTGACACCCATAATATCATTGTAATAGGATCTTACTGGGTCACAAGAAGCATAAATAACACCGGGCTCATCAGACAGAATGATGTCTTCACAATTCATAAAATCCTTTGAACCTTTTTTTATAACACTTTAATAGTCTTTTTCTTTTTTTGGTTATTGGACTTTTACCTGTTATCTTTTCACAGGATTCAGTATTGAAGTCCCTTATTTCATTAAAGATACCAAGTATGAGGATAGTCTTGTCTATATATATGTGTGTTGTTAATGATTATATCTTTATATCACTCATGAACTTTACAGAGAAAAGAGGCTATAATAGCAATAGGGATAATGGCTCCCCAATATTTGAAGTGAAACCAATACGTCTTTGGTGCAGGAGGCATTGAAGAAAAGAGAAAAAAGAGAAAAAAGGGTTTTTGCGGAGACATAAAGTATGCGCAGGTATCACAAAGTATGCGCAATTCAAATGAGAGACAGTTGTTAAGCTATGAATGAAAGAGGCAGGAAGTTTATTTATTTTACAAATATTTAATAATATGATGATATCTATCTGACAATCGAGGTATAACCTTGGGAGGTACTATGATTAATGCAACAAACCATAATAACATAAACAGAAAAATAGGACCGTAGACCATCACCGTCTGTTTCCGTTTCCTTCGTTCTTTTGTTGGTAATACAGCTGGTCTGATCTGCTTAGACGGCCTCAGCCAGAATAAGATGAGTGAATGGATCTTGTCGATAGATGGTATTAAAGTTATTGGAAACAGTAAGAATAGAATGAAGTGACCAAGTATGAAGTCGGCTGTAAACACGGACATTTCAACAACCTTGCAGATATATTCTCTTGCTGCAAGTCTGCCAACCTATAAACTTATTAGTTGTCTCTTCTTATGATGTATTGGTGTTTTCTTTTACCTTGCTTGATCTCCAGTTGCCCGACCACCAAGTTCTGTTGGTTGCATCATGGTGTATTTCGCGCGTCAAAAAGATAGATAACACTGTCTTGAATATAGTTCTTTGAACAGAGAATATAGCCAAGAGTCCAAGTAATGTCGATCGTACCTCAAACTTTTCAATGGCCCAAAACAGCTCAAAAAAGAAGATCAAGCCAATCACGGCCAGACCATGTGCCACAATGGCTATGTAACATCCTCTGCGCTTGCTATTTTCGGAGACAATGGCCGACAACACAGACACGACCTGTAGCAAGATCAGAGCAATGGCATTAAAGACGATGGGACCCAGAGCAATACCCAAAATACGACCAAGAGACCCCGAGGGGCCCAAAGAGGTATTAACTCGGTTGATAAGTGCACCATAAACATCGACTTGTTCGCGACTTTTGAAAAAGATGTAACAAAAGAGGCACAACGCAGTCTGTAAGAAGGGCATGACAATTTCGGTAAAAAAAATGCTCGAGAGATGGGCTCGAGGTACTGCGACAATGGGCTTGCTATCTTGCACCATAGACTTCATGCGTGCTTTCTTCTTGTTACCAGTCACTTGCGTTCTCACTTGACGACAAAATGTAACCCAGGCATGTTCATGGTAATAACCTGCATTTCCCTTGGAAAGCCATCCAAGATACTCTTTGTAGTCGCAGATAAAGTCCATCAGTACAAATTGATGTGGGTTAAAAACAAAGGGTGATATGAGCAGAGACGTAACCGTTGCCCAAAAATAGATGAGGTGAGGAATCCAGAGGGTGAGAGAGACAAAGATGAGCATAAACATAGTTCGTGCACCAAAGTAAATGCTTGGATGAGCAAATCTTGAGTACAATACAGAAAATGGCAATCGTGAAGTAGCAAATCCTCTTCCGGTAGCAATGTAGCGTGCACCACCAAAGCTCAGGTTGGAAACCACAGAGTTCGCGTAGATCTGAGTGACAAAGACTTCAAACATAGGTGACAGAGACAGGAACTGCTTTATCAATCGAAGTAAAGCTCGGCCTGTGCCTTTCTCGGTTAATTCCTGCATAAAAAGTGGTAAAAAGGCGATAAAGAATACGATAAAGATGGAAATAATACAACGCTGCAACCAATCGTATACCGGATGTACGTCAAAGCAATTGCTGCCCAAGCAGTGTGGTAAAACCGCAGCCATGGCGCCTATGAGAGTCATACAAAAGACAAAAACCTGAACAGCAAAGATAATCATGATGTTGTTCATATGAAATCCCGGATGCGCATAGTAGAAAGTCAAAAATCGATCCAAAGAGAGCTGCGTACCCAAGTAGTAATATTCACGCGATAAGAGTTGTTCACCCATACCTGTGCCAATCTTGGTCGTAAAGTTGAGAATAGAGCAGAATCCCAAGTCGCGTCCCTTGCCGCATTGAAGGTACTCCGTGTGTTTAATACGCCCACCCCGCAAGAGTGCATTCATACCAGCATAAATGTCTTCGTTCAAGTGTAGACCACGTTGAGCTTTGCTCACACCGCCTCTTGTTGTCATAAAAACTGCGTTTAAAAAATCAGGATGGCCATAGTGCAGTCGGCTTCCAGTTTTTGCCATGATGCGTTGTGTGAGCGTACCAAAGGTTTGTTCTTTTCCAGCCGCGACATCACCCAATACACCAACGTTTTCAGAGAAAATGTATTCACGAGCACCAACGATGGCCACAGGAGGAACAGAAGGTTCCTTACTTTGACTACTCTGCAGAGCGTAAATATCCTTTAGCGGTCTTGATTCATTTTGCTCAAATTCACCAAAGATACTGCGTATTTTTAAACACTCTTCCAAGTAGTTGTCCTGGTTGGCATCGACTAACTGTAGAAACTCTCCGCGAGAAAAGATAAGCGCATGGTTTTGATTATCAGATTTCCCGTCACCCAAGATCGGGCTGCCAGGCAGTCTAATCTTGTATTTCGGTGCACGCTTGTTGTTGGGAAGCACTTCGCAATGACCATCGATCAATACCGAGTAATAGACGACATGCCCGTTACCGTCCAATTCTTCTTCGATATAGGCGATCTGTAGATTAGGATATTCCGTCAATAAAAACTCGCAGTTGGCTCTCTCTTCTTGATTAAGCTTAGCGTACCGCTGCATAGCTACCAAGTACCGAAACTTTTCATTGGCAATAGATTCCAGTCTGTCTTCGGCCTTGTCGGTTTTTTTCACCTTGAGTATTTCGTCATCTCCACTACGCATCATATCAGCCACAAGAGGGTTCGATGATGAAGACTCGCCTAGCATTTCGTCGGGATGTTCTATGCGATAGAGTATCTTGATAGCACGCGAATAGTTCATGAATCCATTGATCGTTCTGTACAAAGTCTGTGCACGAAGAGACGCCCAGAGACGTGTTCTGAGGGTATATTCAGGCGCTGATGATTTGAACCCAATACAATAAAACGGTAAATCCTCCTTGTCCGAAGGCTGATACGAATCTTGGCTCTCTTCTGCTATAAACATGGTGTCCTTTACAAAATTACTCCATTCTGCAGGGTGTAGCTTCTTCAGATACTCCAGGAGTGTTACACGTGTGGTTGAATCCTCTTCACGTATGATTTCTCGAAGTGATAATATCATCTTTTCGGAATAATGAGGAGTAAACACGGTAAAGGTTGGCATCGACTCGACAGAACAAGGTGTCGGAAACCGCGTGGACAAGCTCTGCGCAAAAAACGATAATCTACGCTCAGCCTCGGAAAGAGGTGGGAAATAGTCGTTTGGACGGAACGTCTTTTTGGCGTCAAAGAGAGGTGGTGCATGTAGTTCACGAAGAGTCGACCCGTCCTGATCTTCAGATACTTGAACCTGGTAAAGCAAGGATTGGAGGTTGTTGATTGATAAAAGATGTTCACGGTACATGGAGATGACGATGGCGTTCCACATTTGTGAGCAAGCCATTCGACGTAATGGGGCCGATAGTTCCTCTTTTGCAGCGACTGTCAGCTTCTTGAACATGTTAATAGGCACTTTGACAAATAGGCTTTTCCAGGATGTCATGACGGAAATACCCAGGCGCATAGACTGGAATACGGAGAAGATGGTGCTCCAGATAACGTACCACAGATAGGTGTCTAAAAAGAACAGGACCAGTTCAACAGTAAACATCAGGACGGTAGTCACGATGGGCATGATCAAACAAAGCCTGCGTCCTAGTAGAGGATCTTCACTGCAATTGTGAAGCTGCATTCGTATGGTAACAGAAAGAGCGTCTCGGAAGGAGAGGACGAGAAAGAAGTATGTCTCTAAAAATTTGCATGTAAAGACACAGATCCAAAGTAAAAAGGATAAAAATCGATCATCCTCTGCCATTTCAGGAAAGTTGGCGGTAAACGTCTTGGAAAACATTTGACCTGTTCCAGATAGGTTAAATAGGCATGCAGGTGGTGTAACGACCATAAAGATGGTAAAAATGGCGCCCAGGCCAAGCTGGCAGCTGGAAATAACCAAGGCCCTTCTACTCGCATGGTCGTATTTTAGGATATAGAAAGTAGCAGCCACATGACAAGCACCCATCATGAACAAGAACAGCAAACGAGTCAACAAGATACGGAGTGTACGAAGAGATAGCCTCAGATGCATGAACTCGGCTAGAGTAGAGGCTGCCAAGAGGATAATAGCGACAAGTCCACCCAAACCCACGATGGACAACTTAACCGGCAGATCAAACTGACTATTGGTTTCACCATAGGTGTTCTTTTTGTTTGCATACATAAAATCGACACTTGAGGCCATGTAATACCAAAAGGAGACTGCATGAATAATCCATACCCTTGAAAAGTTTGTCAAGAGATGAGACCAGGAACGTGTTTCGTAAAAGGTCTTTTTGAACGCTCTGTTCCAATCCACATGTTCAAGCTCGAGATAACGTCGTTCTTTTGATATGTCCTTGAGCATAGGACCATTATTTCGTAAGCAAAGATTAGATATAGCTCGACGATTCCAAAAGAGTTGATTGATATCGTCGTATCCAATAATGTTCTTGTGATCTTTTTCTTTGCGAACATAATGATGATTGATGACTTCATAGCTTTGGTCACGAACGAAAGCATAGAGTGGTGCGATGATGGAGTCCATGAAGGATATGGTATGAGTTGTTGTACTTGAGGCAGAGGTATTGACTGTCCCATTATCTCCCACATTTGCTGTGTCACTGGTCGAAAGCACACCTTCGTCATACTCTTCAGCTACGTGATAGATAAAACAGAGTAGCTCGGGCGCAAATCTTAGGACGGATGCTTCTCCCCAAATAAGCATGTAGAGGGCTAATTGTGAGATTCGAGTGTGATCTGTCATCGTCTCCATACATTTGCGCCAACCTCGTTTAGCTTCCTCGAGCAAGAGACCAGTCGGACTATTTGCGGGTGTATATTTATCATCCAGGTCGAGGATGGCCGAGAAATACCACTTTCGATAGTTTGAATGTTCTCCTCCTATATAATCTGCATGCAGTGTCCACAGAGCCTGCTTTGGTGACATCCGCGCCGAGCGAGAGTTTAACATGGTCAAGAGGTAGTCAAATATGTTGCGAATATTGTCATGCTGAAACCCATATTTCTTTTCATGCTTTAGGAAAATATCGTATATCTCATAGTTACCGATCGGTGTATCTGCAACTTCCCAATGAGGGTAATGCTTAATGTCTTGAGTAGCAAGTGTTGTATTTGTTGATGAGCGAGATGCCACTTTTTTTAAATGAGTATTATCGTTGGTGCTGTTGTTATTGGTTGTGTTGGGTTGTGTGTCTATTTCTATGATACTGTTAATCGATTGTTATTGAATGTAATTTTTATTCTTTACCAGTTATCATTGGCGATTGATTATGCTCATTATTACTATAGATAAGAAAAAAAGATCAGTATATGGTCAAGGTCATATATCATCAGGCTTACTCTGGATGATTGGAAGGCATTTTATTATTATTATTATATTATAATTGCTTTTACTTCATGCAAAAAAAGTAGGAAATGGAAGAAAAGAGAAAAAGAAAGGATTAAAAAGAATTCAAAATGTTCCGTGACATATATCAAAGGGAGTCTTGGTTCGTTTTAATTATCATTGACCAAAGGAACCTTGATCTAGCATATACATATATAACAAAAAAAAATTGGATCATTCCTAAATTTTGGGAGCAGCTCCATGTGATTTATTAAGTCGAGGATGATAGTACGTGTTTATGACCAAGACTACATTAATCACAGACAGTACTGCTACTTACTGCTTACTACTTCTTGTTCACTTTAGTGAAATCATTGTTTGATACTTGGGTTAATGATAATTACATTCCAATCTATTTTCTTTATTTGTATAAATTTATGCTCTAAAAAGAGTGGAATTTAGTCACTCCCAGAATTACACACCTACACATCTCAAGGGGAAAAGAAGAGAAAGATAATTACGTAATATATCCTCGCTCACTGTCACTGTCCTTCCTTCTCCCCTTTCCGATAATTTTGTAAAAAAGGGGGGCGATCATTGGTATTTAATATAAGAAAAAATAATAGGAGAGTTTGTTAACAAGATACAACTCTCTATGTAATTTACAATGTCTTTAATAAAAGGCAAGACAACACTTTTACAGCAATTTGAACTCATGAAAGGATTACTTTACATCCAGGCTATGAAGTAATTTGTCTAGTAAAAAAAAAAAAAAAAGAAGGGATGAACAGTGCAATTAATGCATAATCGTGGCACCTTACACAAGGTAATAAACCCAGGGAGAGAGTGCGAGAGAGAGAGAGAGGTGAACTGTTGATCTCTCATTGTCTTGTTATGAGTTCAAGCAAGAAAAACTATCTTCTTTGTAAAATGACAGCTGAATGGAGTTTATCAGTTCAATCTTTATTTAGCTTATCTTTGTGGAGTGTCATTGATTCCGCACCAGCAATTGGCTGATAAATATGTCCTTGTGTGCCTGAACGAATAATTCTGACTCACTCTCAATTTACTTTTCCGCCAGCCTTTCATTTTAATCTATTGGCTTTTTTTTCTTTTCCAAAAAAAAAAAAAAAAAAAAAACTATCAAATGAAGACTACACTAAAAAAACTTGTTCATTTCCCAGAGCAATTCACACCTGAAGATGCTGAATCAGCAGTGAATGATATTATGAAAGGCTCAGCTACACCAAGCCAAATTTCAGCATTCTTGGTTTCCTTAAAGTTACAGCATAAAGATAAAGATCCAAGAATCGTGGCTGCATGTGCAAACGCGATGCGTAGTCATGCTCGAGTGGTGCCTTATGATGGACATGAAGATCTAGCTGGGAGCGTTGTAGATATCGTAGGTACAGGCGGAGATGGTCATAACACATACAACGTGTCAACTACTGCTTCAATTGTTGCAGCTGGTGCTGGTGCAAAAGTAGCCAAAGTAAGATCAACAATACATTTAGTTTTTTTTTCTCTAATAATGATAAATAGCATGGTAATCGTGCTGCATCTTCCAAATCAGGATCTGCTGATCTCATGGAGGCCCTTGACTGTCAGATTGCACATGTCCAGCCAGATCAAGTTGCAGGCATTATTGATCGAACCAATTTTTGTTTCCTATTTTCACAAACTTATCATCCAGCAATGAAGCATGTGGCCACATTACGAAAGGAGATTGCAGTACCCACAGTCTTCAACATGTTAGGGCCTATGAGTAACCCGGCAAAGCCTGCTCGGGTAGTCGTAGGCGTACATTCTCCTGAAATAGGTGAACTCATGGCAAACGCATTAAAGTTGACAGGTGTAAAGGAGGCGCTGGTTGTTTGCGGGGCTGAAAGATTGGATGAGGTATGTGATGATGGTATAAATTGAATAGAGAAAGAGGCTAATGATGATAAATAGATTAGTACAGAAGGCGAGACTAATGTAAGTGTGTCTTAGTGCAAATGTATCACATGTATTAAATATATTTTATAGTATTGGAGAATTCATGAAGGTGGTGAGATTATTACAGGCACTTTACATCCAACAAGGGACTTTGGTCTAAAGACACATCCACTATCAGAAGTCAAAGGGGGTGACTGCTATGAAAATGCAGAAATTTTGAAGGATTTACTGGATGGAAAACTACAAGAGGATCATCCAATTCTAGACTTTGTCTTGCTAAATGCAGCCGCATTACTTGTCGTCTCTGGGATTTCATCTGACTTTAAGGATGGCGTCCAAAAGGCCCGAGCATCGATTCAAAATGGTCAAGCAAAGCAAGTGCTGGAAATCTTTAGAGAAGAAACTCTAAAATGTGCTTAAATTTAAGGCTATTTTTGCTCGCGCAATAATAAATTCTGCATGATTGTTTACAAGCATCATATCTTCAAGAGAAAGGATCACGTCTTTTTCATCGGGTGGGTTCTGTAGCAGGCATTGTCCAGTAAATAGTCGTGCTACCCGTGGGATACCTGATTGTGATGAGCCATAAATGATCAAATAGTCTTGATTGAATAAATGAATTAAACAGGATTGATGACTCAACAGTAGATAATGTTTATTTATAACGATTCCCTTTTGGAACTATATATTAGGAATAACATATATATATGCAAGTCCTTTACTTACCTTGGTCAAGTCCTGAAGTCTGTCCATTGACATTTTCTGCTTGACTGCGATACAATATGGGAAATAAGCAGGAATGATGCTAGGCAAAAAGGATATCATTTCTATTATGAATAAGTATACTTTCATCCCATATATTGGGTTTACTTACTTGTCCAGCCAAGGTCATCTGTATTCTGTACCCATTCTACACTATATGAGTCAGTTTGATGATACTGATCATTAAACTTGTAGATGCAAGTTATCTTCAATGCATTCATGACTTCAGATGGTTGTATATCTGGTAATAGATCAAAAGAACAATAAAAGTATGCCTTATCTCCTGTTAGATGGCGATTTAAATAGATAGTCTCCGGTAATAAGCTGTTTGGTAAGCAACTTAAGTAAGCCTCATCAATAGATGATCTAACAGAGTGTATAAGTTACATATATACTATTTCTATTCATATTCTTACAAAACAATGCCTTCTGCTTGAATCCAAACCCTTTGGCTCGGGCGTAACCAAGCTCGACAGCTGGTGAGGCCAATTTTTGTTGTTGTTGTTGTTGTTGTTATCAAGTCATTTTTAGCAATGGTAAATTCTGTCATTGAATTAGACAATAAAGGTACTAGATCATCTGGTATCGAAATGGGTCGTGGCATCTTTTGGACATTGGCTTTATTCTCCAAGAGCGCGTTTTGAAGATCACTTTGCAATACTTGATATGCTTCTTGTAACAAGGCTCTTTTAGTTGTTATCTTCTTGATGACCTTTCTTTGTTCATGATTGCATTCAGATATCTTGTTTTGAATAATCTGAAGCGTGTGACATAACTCTTTTAAACTAGTGTTGTCCATTTGAGAACAAAAAGAAAAAGAAAAAGAAAGAGGGAAAAATCAAGACAATAAATCTTTTATAGACAACAAGACGGTCAAGAGAGAAGTAACAAAAATGAATTGACAACCGACAAAGACAGGCGTGAATAGACTGTAGATATGCCAATAAGAGCAAGTAAATCCAATGAATGATATGACTGCACTTGCACTTGCTGCTTGAATATAACGACGTGTTCTTGGATTCTGTTCCCAGTTTCTGTATTCTGCACCGCTTAGTTGAAGGATGAGAAAGATAGTAGACATGGTGATAAAAGATATACAAGATGTAGAAAATACTTTGCCACTATTAAACGTGAGTGAGCATATAAGTTATATCTAATATTTTATTACTGTTGAATGAGGTCTGCCTGATAATATGTTGATAAACAAAACAGAATAGCCATTGTAATAGCCAACTGTGGTACTGTAGACACTATTTGTTCAATAGGATGCTTCTTGTTGGCTTTATAATGTTGTTGTCGTATTTTATCTTTATTAGTTGGTCTTTTATATAGATTGCTCATGAAAAAAGTTTAGATTGCAAAAAAAAGATTGCACATTTCCCTATTATGCGAGTGACAGGAGCCTCTTGTTATGTTGTTAACTCTTTCTTTTTATTGGTCGAAAAATGAAAAATAAAATATCGAATACACTTTTACTTTTTGAAGGATGAGCTGGAAAACAAGAGGCTTCTGCTGCTCGTATAATAAGACCATTCCTTCAGCCTGTGATCTCGAACTAATGAAATCATTATACTTTGGAGGAAGAAGCCTCTTGCTGTGGCTTCAGAGAAGTACTGAGAACTGATGAGGTGAAGTCTGAGACAGTTCGACGTGACAAGCGATAAAATGTGTCAAAGCTTTGACGAGAAGACCAAGAACCGTGAGCCAAGCTGTCGACGACGAGAGCACTAGAGGACAAGGCAACAGTGAGTTCAACAGCCAGGGCTTTGAACGAACGGCCATTTGTCTTGACCAAGCGAAGGAAGGCTTGAGTGCGTTTACTTATGGCCCCAACACCAAGAGAGTAGGCAAGGTCGCGCGTGTTGCGGATCAAATATGCCAATTGGATGGTGTTGTTAATAGGATGTGGGAGAACGAGAGACTGAAAGAGAATACGAGCGCAGTGCTTTCATAGGAGCCTACTTTAGCATTGCGATGGTGTTTTTTTTTTTTTCTCAATGTGAAGGTGAAATTGCCAAGCTGGAAAGCTGTCATCAGGCACGCATAATGGCCTGAGGAGTCGCGGCGGACACCCTTGACGTCTATGGAAACAAACAAAAACGGCCAACACTACACAGCACATCTGTGACGTAAGTAATTCAATTTGCACAGCAAGCAGCACTATGTGCAACGCTGAAGTATTGATCAGAACAATGGAAAATTGTGAGTAAATAAAAAAGAAAAAGAAATTCAATTTGGCTTTTTCCTTTTTAATTTTTTAAAAATGTTTCCCAGATTACCACCTGTTGTGCTAGCAGCCATAGCTGGTGCCGCAGTTTATGGATTTAAACATGTGTTGGATCGTCTTGAACCAAAAGCAATTGGACCACCAGGATCCTTTGAACAAGCAGAAAAAATATATAAATTCAGACAAAATGTCAAAAGAGCCAAAGTTGCTACAGCCGTTTCAGGATTAGTTTATGCTGCGTACTGGGGTAAAGTAGAGAATAAATTAAAAAACATAATCATTTTAACTTTTTAAATAGTATATGATTCTCGACAACATCGCAGTACACCTGCTGTGCTAACAAAAGACGATAAAGATGCAGTTGAGTTTTATAAGGATCAATATAGTGAAAGAGACAGGCGTTATAAGATGGAAAGAGAAAGACTGAGGCAATCAGAAAGAGAACACGAATTGAAATCAAAAAGACAGTTAGAAAAAGAACTTGAATCTATGCAGAAAATTATTGATAATAAAAAGTAAAATGATAAAATAACACAGACGCGTGCTTTGGATTAAACGCGTAAAAAAGAGAGAAAAGAGAGAGAGAAAGAGAATCGAGAGTCAAGTGGAGTATAAAATTTTCTTTTTTATTTTTTGTTGCTTGGGCTTTTTTTTCTTTCTTAATCATGTATTCACCTCGTAGAAATCCAGTAATAAGGACACCAGAGAGAAATACTATCAGTTCTTCTCCATTAAGAGCTTTAACACCTTTTGTGGATGCTATCAAATCAGCACAAACAAAGGCAACAAAGGACTTTGAGAGTTTTTATGGAAGTCTAATGTCTAAACTGACTCCAAAGACATCAACAGTAAATAGATTACGATACATTTTTATACATGTTTACATTTACGTTCAATAGAGTCGTATTATCAAAAAGACACCAGAGACCACTGAACGCACAAAGTCATTTCTTAAACAAAAGAAAATTGAGCAAGAGTACAACAGAACTTCACTAACTCCCTTATTCGAGAGACACACTTTAAGAGAAGGTATAAACAATAAGAGAATAGACATGTGCTAATTATCATTCACAGTGACAGACTATCCCAGTCTCAACCCATTTTATGAAGAAACAGAGTCTGAAATAACTGATGATCAAACAGAATTGGACAACAATAGCATCATGAGTATAGACAAACCATTTGATAAAAGAAAAGATATCAAGTATCCTTCTTTATTGGATTTATTAAAGGAAGAAACAACAAGAATTGATAGATTACAATCAAATATTTCTGTTATCAAAAGACAGGCAAGTTTACAGCACTTGATTCATTCTCTTTTTTTAACCTTTTTTTTACTTTAGTCTTCTTATTTGGCAGAAGAATATTCTTTCTTTAATGATAAAGAAGATGAACAGATACCCTCTCACAAGAACAATAATGTTAAAAGTGACAATGAAAACAATAATACATATACAACACCACAGACCACATTCAGAAATACATATTTAACGCCTCCGCAATCAACAGATAACAACAACAATAAGAAATCAGTCAACAACCATCACAGTCCAGATACAAAGAACTTAGACACATCACGATCTGTAAACAAGACCAATACGACACCAAATACAAATGATCTATTTCATGAAATATCTACCGCCAAACTGAAATCTGCTGAGATCATTAGGTAATCTTTATCATCACACTTGTGTGCATTTCTAACATTACAAAAACAACAACAATAGAACCCCAGGTGGAACCAGAGTCTGTAATAGATTTTGGAAAGAAATACACGGAATCAATGCAAAGAGAGAATCTAGCCTTTCACCTCAATCACCTTCTAGAATTGAAAAGCACAGCAAACCAAAGAGAATGTCCACTTTACAGAGAAAGCTTTGGGATGAAGATGATGATGTCTTTTGGACATCCAGTAGTGGCTCATCTACTAACTCATCTTCTCTTAATGAAAGACTCTTGAAAGCAACTCAAATGGGAGAACAACAAAAAGAAAGACAAGTGAAACAAATTTCATTATCGGAAGAGATCGAATCTGCAACCAGAAGAGAACAAGTAGAACAACAAAAGAAGAGTATACCAACCATGAACCCACAAGTTCTTGAAGAATTGAAAGCTAAATACCGTGAAAAGCTGATTGATGACTCAGATTCTTACAAGTTTTCATAATAAATAAAATTGTTTTGCTTTATTATCATTCACTTAATGACATACGGCTTAATCCACCACTTGCATCCTGCAAGTTGAAGGAAGTATCTACAGGCTTTTGTTGGTAGGATCTACTAGCAGCATTAGGAGAAGGAGAAGGACAAAAACTGGTAGGTGGACTTGATATGCCTGTCAGGATAGGCGACCCTGATAAAGAAACAGAAGGAGAAACTGCTCTACGCTTTAGACTAAATGCTGGATAAGGTTCAAATCTATCTTCTGAGGCTTAAGAACACATTAAAAAAAGCCTGGAACAATAAATTCAGTCGTTTTTTTTTTTACCTTTACGCTTTATAGATCTATATGTCTGTTGTGTAGGTGGCGGTAAATTATCTAATTGTAAATTCTTGATACATTTCTTAGTACTATGCTGTTAATAATGAAATGAACTTACTGTCATTTCTACTTCTGGATTTAGCTTTGAACATTGATAATAAGGAAAATCTAGTACTTTTGTCCATGAAGCAGCTGGTACATCATTTTGATTTGGATCTGTTATTTTTTGTTGTAGTTCTTTTTCTTTACGCATTTCAATATCTAAAAAGCGAGTATCTTCCTATAATAATAAAAAATGTTGATTCGACATCTTTTAAACGTCCTTTTTATTGTACCTCTGCTTGATTGATCACTCTTAGTAAAGCTTTTGATTTTGGCTAAATAATAAAATCATCAACACACATGGGAGAAACAAGAATCGTATATATTACCAATAATGAACTTCTTCTATGAACGCTTCTTTTTTCTGGATCACGCTTTTCACGAAAGATGCCTTTATGTTTACTATTGTTATTACTATCATCATCCTGAGTAAACCGAGTAGAATGAGTGATTTTTGATATGTGATTGATCTGTTTTGGTAACTTTTCAGATAAGGAAGTAGCTGAAGCAATTGATCTTGCATCTTCAGAGTCTACACTCATTTTATTGTACGAGGAAGTAGAGGGTGAAGCAGGTTGCGATATATCTGACATCCTGTAGGACTGTACTTCTTCTTCTTCACTATCACTATGATAACCAGAGGCAGTTGTTCTATACATGTTTATGGTCTCTTTTTTTTTTTTTTACAAGTGTGTATATCTATTTTATAAAGAAAGAAAGAAAAAAGAGAGAAGGAGAGAAATAATTCAATTTTCCGTGTGTGTCTCTCTCTCTTTGTTTGTCTTAGCCTCTTTCTTTTTTTTTTTCCCTCTTTGGCTATTTCGCTCACCCCCCTCCCCTCACTCTCTCTTTCTTCTCCCCCGCAAAGATCGTCACACACGCATATATATACACCATCGATGTATACAATACAAAGAAGGAGCACTATATTCAATCAAAGGTGGCTTTGAATGGATGCATAAATATGATAAAATATCAATAAGCTGTTCTTTAAAATATTATTTCTTTCTTTCTTTGTCTTTTATAAAAGTTCAACCCATGAACAGCAGTAATCACGAGTCAACATTTGTAGTTTTATGGTATATGAATGGATGCACAGCCACTGTCTATAAAAAGGAAAAAGACAATGAAAAGAAAGAGCCTATAAAGACGATATGTTTTGCAAATAAAGCATATTTGGCCTTTAAACAAATTGACTGTTTGGTAAAGGACAATATAAAGAACAACAAAGAACAAGGAAACTGATCATGACTATATATATATAGTCTATTGCAATACCAGCCATAGGTTATCTAAATCAATTGACCTCCTTATTACTACAAAATAATAATATCAAGGAACTCCCTGATGAATTATGGAAATTGACAAGTTTAGAAGAATTAAATCTGGGTTATAACAAGATCAAGAGGATACCAAAAGAGGTTGGATTATTAATCAATCTAAAAGAATTATATTTACACAACAATGAAATACAAGAATTACCAACACAGATAGGAAGATTAAAACATTTGAGCGTACTTGATTTGACACACAATCAGCTAAAGTATTTACCAGCAGAGTTAAAGAAAATTCAATTTTGGCAACTTTGGATCGAAAAGAACCCATTAGAGCAAGATATATCCCAGTCGATCATGTCCCTAAGGGCGATTTGTTGTCAAATAGTGGGCAAACTATGCTGTGTGGATGAAGAATCAAGAGAGGTCGTTAAAGAACATTTACCAAAACCTATGCAACATGACATATTACCCAACCCATCAATAGCCTCACTTTGTTATCACTGTGATTCCATACGATGTCACTCGGATTTATATTTTATGTCCAACTCTTATTTGTTCCATGCCTGTAGTCAATCTTGTTTCAGTCAAATGAAAAAAATCGAGCTAAAATATTGATCAAATAATATAATCAAATCAAATAATCGTGTGACCTCTTTCTTTCTTTATTTTATTATACCCTTTTCCTCCCTTTTACTGCATGGCTGGATATCTTGGTCAGAATCAAGTCATGTTTACGAATAGTATTCCTAATGTAAATAACAATAACAATAAATAAACATATAAGCTCAACATTACCCCTTATAGATCTATGATGACTCGGCAGCTTTTGCTTATTTTCAACAAATGTCGCCTACATTTCAACAAGCACTCTTGACTAACCAACAAAGCTTGAGTGCAAACCTACATGAACAAGCCATACTAGAACAGCAACAACAACAGCAACAATTAGAATACACACCACCTATCATGGCACCTCCACAATCACCTACACTATCAAGTTATTATTTCGAAAGTGGCTGGGTAAACCATTATTATGACCCAAAGCGTAGACAATATCTTTCCAGTCGTGTTGACCACGATTATCAACAGAAGCATCGTCATTCTCAATTACTCCAGCAACCATATATACTTAACCAACAGCGTCCTATGAATCATGATCATCATAGAAGAATTATTAGACAGCACTCTTTCAATAACATCATTCCTCAACCATTTCCTACAACCTTGGGCTCCACTACCACCACACTTCCCCCTGTATCCAATCCATATCTTAATGCTGCTGCCGCTGCTGCCGCTGCTGCTTCAGCAACGGTATCTTCAGCTCAAGGCACTGTATATCCTGAAATATCAACCCATATATTGCATTCTACCTCACCAGATGAATTACGAGAAAGTCTATTACAGTTTGCCCATAATCTGTATTCAACTGCACCCCAAAACCCTTATCTGCTACCTCTACTTCATTCATTACACGATGCATTTCCAAACCACCTGCCTACCATTCTGCTATTGGCTTGCGTTTACTATTCTTATCAGGATTATGCATCGTCACTTCGATTTAATCAACTCATCTTGAAACATGATGCAAACTATGTAGAGGCAATGAGCAACATTGGTACAACACTTAGAACAATGGGCAAAGCAGCTGAGGCAGAAAGATGGTGGTACCAAGCCGTTAAACTACGACCCGGATACTGGGATGCAGTAGAAAATCTTGTAGGCGTGTTGTGCGCCAAAGTGGACGATCGAGCTGAAGGAGATAATCCTCGATACAAAGAAGCATTGACCGTATGTGAATTTGTGGAAAAATACTTTTACAGCACAAGTCCAACAGAGCCTCTGAAGATACCAAAACAGCTTCCTCCTCATCAATTACCTCGATTGCAAAATTTGTTTTATGCAAAGGGAAACTTAAAGTATGCCTTAGGTGATATCCAGGGGGCCCAGCGGGAATATGAAAAAGGTCTAGAGCTTGCCTTTAACGGTGTAGGCTATTCAAGCCTTTGCAAACTGATCGCATTCACCTGTTCAGGAGGCATGCTTCCTGCCTCTTCTACTGCGAATGCTGTGCCACTCGTTTTACTACAACCGGATCAAGCTGCCCGTATCTTGCACATGATCTTTCCTACATACAATGGCATGTTGCCTAGTTTGACAAACATCAATTACTCTGCAAACTCGAAACCAGGCGCCGGTAGCATTCCAGGTACAGACATTACTTCCGCTATTCAACAAACAAATCAGACGACTGCAACTATTCTCTTGACCTTGGCCAAGTTATTCCAGGATATGATGAATCCCACAACTCCAGTTTTGATAGCTGCTGCTGCTGCTGCTCCATCTCCCGGTTGCACTGCGCCTACACTACCAACCCTACTTCCTCTTTATTATCTGAGCTTGGCTCTCAACCCAAGTCCTTCAACAGCCAATAATTTGGGAATCATTCTGAGCAACATCCCTGGTGCTATTGCGGCATCTGCTATTAAACCTGCTGCGTCTTCAACCACACCGCTGACCGGCACTATGTTGGCCATGCAGTACTATATGTACGGCCTTCAATTAGATCCACGTCACCCTCACCTCTACACCAACCTAGGCTCACTGCTAAAGGACATGGGTCACCTGAATGAAGCAGTAGCAATGTATGAAAAGGCTGTCGAGTACAATCCACGATTTGACGTTGCTCTTGCGAATCTCGGTAATGCTATTAAAGATATGGGACGTGTTCAAGACTCGGTTCAATGGTATCGCCGTGCAGTGGAGGTGAATCCTAACTTTGTGGACGCCATCTGTGGTCTGGCCAATTCATTGAACGCTGTCTGCGATTGGCGTGGTCGTGGTACGTCAGGAGAGGAGCCTGGTGTTGATCAAGTTGGACATTATTTTGTTCCTTCAGGAAGCAATGCCCGCTCTGGATGGATTGGACGTGTGGTAGACATTGTGGAAAAGCAACTGGACGAAGGGGCCATCTGGGGCGCTGGTATTTTAAAGTTAACAGTTGAAGCAGATACAAAAAAGACACTGGGCGAACACTTGGTAGAACTGCTATTGATCGCTACAGGAAAGCACTTACTGGACGCAAGTAAACTTGAGCAAATAACCAAACTCTGGAGATCTCGTCTACTCTATTATGCAGATCAAAGCAGCACTAGCAAGCGAGACGAGGGTGGATGGTTAATCCGGTTGGTTGAACGAATCCTTAGAAGATTACAACGCAATTGGTATATTGAGACATATGGTCATACTGTTAAGCGTACGTCTGCTGTTTTAGAGCCTGATAGAATTTCTGTGACACCAGAGTTGGCACAAAAGTACGCTCGGCCGATGCTTCCTTCCAGCTTGCCGCCTCCCCCAGTTCCTACTGTCTTACCGTTTCATACATTTACTTATCCATTAAACGCTCGTCAAATCAGACTCATCTCGCATCGAAACGCATTACGTGTTTCTCATATAGCATTAACCTCATCCTGGGTCCCTGCTCATGTCTACCCGCCGCCTCCTCCGCCATCACCACGTCTCAAGCTAGGCTATGTATCATCCGACTTCAATAATCACCCTCTCTCACACCTCATGCAATCCGTGTTTGGTTTTCATGACCGAAGCAAGTACCAAGTATTTTGCTATGCAACGACACCCAGCGACAACTCACCTTATCGACAAAAGATCGAACGTGAATCTGAAAGCTTTTTGGATGTGTCGACTTGGACGAACGAGCAAGTGATTCAAAAGATTATTGCAGATGGTATACATGTCCTGATCAACCTGAATGGATACACAAAGGGAGCTCGTAACGAAATATTTGCGGCACGCCCCTGTCCGGTTCAATGTTCATTCATGGGGTTTGCTGGTACATTAGGTGGAGGATGGTGTGATTGGATCATTGCTGACCCTATTGTCTGTCCACCGGAGATGGTAAGCGGCGAAGTATGGCGTCGAAGGAAAAAACATGCGGCGTCAGAGGCCACACCTAATGGCGATTTTGAAGGCGACGTTGATCCTGAAGAAGACACAAATGACTTTGTATATACAGAAAAGTTTATCTACATGCCTCATTCCTACTTTGTCAATGACCACAAGCAGGGTTTTCGAGACGATCAGCACCAGGAAACAGAAACCTATAAAGACAAGGAAATCTTATGGGCAGCTGAAGAAGATAAGAGGTGGAAGATGCGCCATGAAGTCTTTCCAAACCTTCCAGACGACGTTGTTATTTTTGCAAACTTTAATCAGCTTTACAAATTAGAGCCAAGCACGTTCAGGCTATGGCTCCGGATCTTGGAAAGAGTACCGAATTCGATTCTTTGGTTACTTAGGTTTCCGCCTGCTGGAGAACACCATCTGCGAAATTGGGCAGTCGAATGGGGAGGACCACAAGTCGCCCAACGTGTGATATTTACGGATGTAGCACCTAAGCATATCCATATCCATCGTGGACGTGTTGCTGACATATTTTTAGATACGCCTGAGTGTAATGCACACACCACAGCAGCCGATATCCTGTGGTCTGGCACGCCTATAGTAACATACCCAAAGTATCCTCACAAAATGTGCTCTCGTGTAGGGGCGAGTATTGCGATGGCCACTGGTTATGGAGAAGAGATGATTGTTACGGACGAGCAGCAGTACGAAGCTAAAGCTGTAGAACTAGCATCAAGTCTCACCTACACTTACACACCAGCACCTGGTTCCAATATCATTCAACGACGTGGCCATGGCAAACTAATGGATTTACGAAAACGGCTATTCTTGACTAGAGAGCATTCTCGCCTCTTTGACACTTTACGCTGGACACAAAATTTGGAAAAAGGCTACGATGAAGCTTGGAGGCGTTGGGTGACTGCAGAAGAATTTGAAGATATCTCTGTAAAGACGTCTTCCTCTGGCTGTATTTGGATTACGGATCCAGATGATTCTAATGGTACACATACATAGACATTGTATATACAGCAAGCCTCCCCTTTTTTTCATTATATTTAACTTTTATTTTTTACTTTATTTTTATCATTTTACACTTTTTAGTATTATACCAGAATGACAATCAACATGTTTTATTTTCCTTGTTTTTTATTGTTATTACAAAGATAGAAACAAAAAAGAAAGAAAAAAAAAAAAAGAAAAAAGGAGAGGGAAAAAAGGGGGAAGTGATTTGGCATATATTTTATTTTTATTTTCTATAGGACTATTTCAATTGACGGCATAAGACCACAACATCGCCTCTTCTTCTCTTATCATCGTGAAAGTGGCTATTGAAGAATCTTTGGCACTCTTGATATCCATAATATTCCAAATCTTGATTCAGTATAGGAAGTAAATTATCAAATAGCACCAAATGAGACGTCTGCTGCATACGATTGTCTATATGAGATCTCAAAAAGTGACTAGGGTCTTGATAGAATTCGTCTGCTTCATCTAAATGGTCGTCTGCTAAAGGAGGGTTGCATGTCAAGAACCATGTGTTTGTCATGTTTGGACTGTGTAGGATAGAGTTCCAGGGAGTAGAATGGCACGGCATGAGGACGCCAACAGATTGAACTTTGTTTTGCTGTGATTCTTTGCGCAACCATATCATAACATCTACAACGCCTCTCTGATGCCAAAATGAAAGATATAATCCTAATGGTAACTGAGTGAAGACTAAGAAAATGTAGGCTCGTTTGCGCCATGTAGAAGACTGAATTTGATAAAGCCCATATGATACAGGTATGAGTAAGATAGGAACAATAGGATAGATAAAGCGAAACTCCTTATGTGGTAAGAGGCTATATATGAATAGTATCCAAAGTGACATCGACAGTAAGGGTTTCATACGGTTGTAAACATTTGGTTTGTTGTATATACAGTAAAGCCCAAATAGCATGAATGGTAGCATGGTAGTCAGTATCACTGGTAATCCTTGTGATAAATACCAATGCCATTGGTGCACACCGTAAAACTCTGATATACCGTTCACAACATTCACTTTGAAGAAAAAGTAAGGTGTAAACACGGGTGCTTTGAACACTTGAATCCAGTCATTTGTATAAGACATTGTATCAATAAATACATTAATGATTAATACAACGGAGCTATATATCATTAGGCGTTAGTATATACCTTTTTCTTAAAAAGAGACAGTTTACCATATAAGTGTCGCGTTTAAAGCTATTATGCCTCTTTTGCCTTTTGATGACAATAATTGACAGCCCATATATAACCAAATCAATGCATTTGTTGGCCTTATAATGCAAGCAATAGAAGCAAATAACAAAGCGAGGCGATATTCTTTAAGCCATTCCTTTCTTTCTCCCAAATATACCACTCCTGGAATCGGCCAATAACTCAAGGCGATCACAGTTAGTATGGTCTCCATAGTATTTGATAAGGTTCTGGCTGCCATGAAAAAGTTAAACCAGGAACATAGAGTTGTAAATAACTATAGAAAAAGAGCCATGTTAGATAAAAATAAAAACACTTGTTTCAATCTTACAATGGGCAAGGCAATGTCTTTGCCAATAACTTTCTTTGCTAGAGAGTAGGTTGCATAATCAGCACCTGCTGTTAAAGAAGATTGAAAGTAACGCGGTAGAGATACAAGAAGATCTGTGTTGTCAAGTCTCAAGATTTGAACAAGCTTGTATACAAATGCAATACTCAGAGGATGAGCATAACTTCTGATTTTCTCTTGCCATTCCCATGTCAAGTAACCATAACCAAACACGAGATTATGCGCAACCTCCTGTCCTTGCCAATATTCATCTGGATTATCATAAGTTCTAGTAAAGTATGCGTTGATCCAGCGAAATATGAGACATAGACCGAAAATAAATAGCCTAGATGCTGTAGTTGATGTCTGTGGAGTGAGATCTGGCATAAAGTAACAGCAAGATTTAAACAGAATTTTTCATTTTATTGGTTGCTTAAATCTTTGGCAGTCTCCTCTTCTTTTCTTTCAGGAACATATTGGCTTAATATATCAAACTTGTCACTTTTCACTTCAAAAACTGTTGCCATTAAAGCGTAATATAACATAGACACATATGCGACCAACAATCTCTTTAAATACCAACGTCTATAAAATATTAGGCCTTTAAGGCCATAAGCATATTCTTTGCTATTATCTTGAGTTAATAGACATAAAGTGAGAAGCAAACCTAGTTGCGAACAATGCTAGCTAAAAAGACTTTAATAGACTCATTTAAAAGTAAATAAGCAAATCATTGCTTTCTTGGTTTATCTCTAGCAAAAATCCAGGAACAAATAAAAAAATTTTATAAATGAGTCAGGACCGCTATTTTTTTTCACTTTTTTTCACTCTTTCCTTTTTCTTTTTGAAACAGGGCATTATCATCAATAGCTTTTCATTACTAGTTCTAGTTATCGTTTTTATATTTGTGTGATAATAATAACAATAATAAGCTTACTAGTAGTGATTACTTGCTTGTGATATGAATTGCAGTCAATTTAAATGATTTTTTCTCAGTTATTACAAACTTGAGTGCAATAGCAGCTAGGTAAAAGATAGTATGAATTTGTTTTATAAATTAGATGAATAGATAATTGATATAAAAATGCCAGAAACGTTGTTGTTAATGTATTTCAAAATGTGGGCAAGTGATAAGGTAAAAAAAAGAAATGTGCTATAGCTTTAGAATTCGAACAAGATCAAAGCAATAAGATTACCTCAGTGACCTTATCGATTAGTAAAAGAGTACTTGTAGCTGAATTGTTCACCTTTATGTTAATTAGAGATAAAAGAGGTTGCATAGATTTCTTGCAATTTCAAAATCTGTGTTACGTCACACAAGAAATATTGTTTTTTCCAAAAGTTGTGCTCCAGGCGAGGATCGAACTCGCGACCTTCGCGTGCCTCAGGTATATTTTACAATATAAGCACGACGCTCTAACCAGCTGAGCTACAAGAGCACCTTGATTTCCGTTTTCTGGATGATTGTAGTGTTATATTTCTTGCACGTGATATACTCGTGACCACGCCTATGATATTTACTCTGAATGCACATTTTTTGTCGATTATTTGTAGTAGATCGAAAAGCTACATTTTAAAATGATTCTATGTGCTTTTATAAAGAACAATGACATTTATTTTTACATTTGCGCTTAAATATTTTGTCGTTTTTTCGTCATTATAGATTGTTTTGAAGAAAAAAGCACTAACAAAAGTGAAACAGAATTTGCGAGTTGGTTAGCACTTTAGTTATTTAGGAAGGATTTGTTTACAAGAATGTTCAAAAAATGTATCAATTTATATACATCAAAAAAAAAAGGAAAGAAAAAAATATTGCAAAAGTATAACATGAACTTTAATCTATTCTTTCAGTTTGTCTTTACTTTTTTTCTCTAATCTTCAAGTCCATTAACATCACCACCAAAGACACCCTTTCTATAATGTTCACGTTGCTTTCTTAACCAAGTTCTGTAATCATGTACTGATTGAATCTTTTCACCATAATAATCGGGTACAGGATTACGAATTGAATTAAGTCTAGCATCTGCACGATTCTTTTTGATGTGTTCAAAAAATTCTTTATCGCGAGCATCCATAGCAGGAGCTATCTTTCTATTCATCAACTTGAATAAGGTATTACCAAATACAGGGCCTAATAAAAACCCACCAAAAGCCTATATTGTATATTAGTTCATGTTTATATAACAATTCAATATAATACTTTACGGCACCCGCAGTGGTAACCACAGCAGCCATAAGAGGATCCATGCCGAGAATTTTAGTGAAGGGATCCACTTCCATTTGAACAAAGTAAGAAAATGTGCCAAAAGCAGGGGCAATGGTGCAAGGGACATAAGAGGTCACCTCGTAAGTACGTCTCTTTTTACGAAGTTTAAAGTAATCATTCCAAGTTGGGATTACATTTTGTTGTTGTCGTTGTTGTGAGGAGGAATTACTGCCTGTGGCAAATAAGCGTACATTGTGGTTGACAAATAGAGGTCTTAAGTGGTTAGGCTTAAGAGGTGCTAAAGCCATTGTATAGATCAATATATTAAAGGAAAAAAAAAAAAAAAAAAGAAAGGTAGAGAAAATTAGAGAATTTTTTATTGAAGGAACAGCATGACGTTTTTACTTGGAGTCACTTTTGTAACAGCGCATTTTGATAAAAGGAGGGGGCGGGAACCTGTTTGTTATCTTTGCTTTTCTTTCTTGCTTTTTATTTATTTATATCTGTTTATCACTGAATCATTCTCTCGCCTTTATATATAAATACTCAATGTGGAATAACTAAAACCAGAAAAGCAACAACAATAAATGTCAACTTTTATATTTGCTCCCAGTTGGGCTGATTATTCTAACAGGTCTAAAAGTAATATAAAGAGACATAATACGATTATTGTTTATAATAATGCCTAAAAATAGATATTGATGAATTCCCCACACTTATTCAAAATAATTCAAAACAATCACATCAACAAAACAATGCTTGGAGCAGTTCATATTTATTACAAAAGATACAAAGACCAGAGGATACTGAAGATATTAAACAAGATGAATTAAAAGATGACAAGAAAACAGAGCTGGAGAGATTAAAAGCACTGGTGCCTAAACGGATCAATCATTTTAAAAGTAATATGATAGCAGCTAGACCAATGAAGACACAGCCTTGTGCATCACTGGCATGTACAAGCAATAATACCAATAATAGTCAGAGCAAAAGCAGCAACAACAGTTGTAGTAGCAGTAGCAGCAGTAGCAGTAGTAGTAGCAGTAGTAGTAGTAGCAGTAGCAGTAGCAATAGCAGTAGCAATAGCAGTAGCAATAGCAGTACTAGCAGTAGCAATAGTAGTAACAGCAATAATCGTAATAATAGCAATAGCAGCAGTAGGAGTAGTAAAAACAATAACAATGGTAGAACATTTAAAGTAATTACACCTAAACTAGTTCATTGTCAATACATTTCAGAGGAAGATAAACAAAAGTTTCTTATGTTTATCAAAAGTTGGACGTCCTCTGGTATAACCAACATAAGTCATCATCATCAAGAACATAATCAGCATAGGCATCATCATAATACACGTAACGTGATCGGATATCATAAACAACAGCAAACACTCAATTTTACCCATTACTCTTACTTTGGTACATTTGATACATTAAACGACAAAACCCACAATCATGTTTCTTATTTCTATTATAATCATTTCCCTACATCCCCTTAGCATTCTATTATCAATAATAAATAATAAAACGATGGTTATATCTTTTTTCGTTGATTTTATCTTAATCTGCAGCTTTTATATGCTATAACCAGTTGATCATCATTACTCTAAGCGCATAAAAGGTCCTGGATTGATTATTTTACTCCAAGTGCTCGTGAGAGTACCTACTGCATGTAGTTTTCTTCATTTGCTGTCTCTTTTTATATTCTCTATGGGATAGCTTGAAGGTACGTCAGTGGCGAAGCAAGACGAAAGAGGAGGCGAACAAAGATGAGTATTCCGTAAGCATTTGAAGTGATGAAAGAACTATTGTGTCCTTTTTTCTTCTCTGCTACGACATAAGCAGTTGCTGCAACGCAATGCATGTCATAACAACTTGAGTTTAATTAATTTTTGTTACTGACTGATTTGCTCAAACTTTGCCTTTACTTTTTATGGATATATTATTTTGATTCTATCACATTATCTTCGGATCAATCAAAGACTGCATTGCTTGCTTTCTTTTGACCTCTATTTTCATTACCCTTTCATTAATATCATAATTAGGCCGATTGCCTGCGACTCGAATACAAAACGCTAAAGCAATGTAACCTACTTTCTATATATCTCAAAATGGGGCATGATCTTTACTGAGTGCTGCCTTAACGAAACAACCAATGGTGTTTCTTCAAACTAGATCATGTGTCATCTTGTAGATTCTTAAAACAACGGCATTCCAGGTGGGTCTAACATGACCTTCAATTGATTCATTTACTTTGGACCCCTTTACCCTAAACATATTGTTATTCTGGCAATACTATATGTCAGCATTTCACTTATGGTTATTGAGGGCATATCCTGCCCCAGTTCGATCTCAATGTGATATAAGATGACTATGGTTGATCTGCTATTGTGTCTGATAATAGTGCGCCAGTAATGTTCACCTTTAATGCCTGTTAAGTCAAACAGAAGCACAATAAAGATAGTGAGTCGCTTTAAACCAAGGTTTGCAGTAGACTCACAGAAGCGATCAGCTTGAAGTTTATGATAGAAAATGTAACGTAATTTTCCAAAGCAAGCCTCGTCTTGAGCATTGACACAGTTAAATCAATACGCTAGCTCATCACCTCTTGTATTTGACTAAGGAAGCTCTTATATGTTGCGTTTATACAGTGAATGTCACATAACCCTACTCTGCTTTATATAGCTCTATATCTGTTGCTTATTCAAAATCACCAGCAGCTATTACGTAGGATTGCTGGACATCGTTCTTATCATACCGTGGTTCGTCCACTTGTAAACAATGTTATTAGCTGTTGGCAGTCTATATTCCACTATTGGGCCTCAGTTTATCACTAATGCCCATGGGTGCTTATTTTGAATGCAGCCATCGTACAATCCTTCGAGATTAATTAAGCAGAAGATTTATACAAGTGTTTTATTCAGTTCACAGTTCATTTAGATGAGGCCACATTCACTGTAGCAGGTTGACTTTCTGGTTGTGCATAAGACGATGACTGTTCATATGGCGTTGTTTGCTCGTAAGATGTTGGATATACAAAAGTTGGAAGTGATGCATTGCCATGCGTGCCTTGGCCAACTGCATCATCATAAGCTTCTTTTCGCATGTTATTAGGTGGTTCTATTTTGGTGAATTCTAAAGCAACATAAGCAAGTCCAATGGCTATAACCTACATGTTTATTATTAACTGTAGCCTTCTTTTTCTTTTAATTCGAGTACTTACAATAACACCCGATGCAATGGATAATGCACCATAATTAACTGTTATGAACCCAAGACTAACAGCAATTGATTAGAAAAAGGGATATTGTTCGTATATGCAAACCACAACTTACAAAATATAGACTATAGACGCTTCAAATTAATCGCTTTTACGATACATATATATGTATTTATACTTACATAAACCACGACCCATAAATGAAAACATAAAAGAAGCATGCTTTACTACAGGACCTGGCATCCTGAATTCAAATAATACGGTCATCAAGCCAAATAAACTACACAAAATGTGTTATTTCCTTGCTTTTTTGAATCGTTGATATCGCCTACATGACAAAGATACCTTGAATGAAATTGGGAAAGCCTACGATATGTTGTTAAGTATATATATATAATACATCAAAAGCTTTTATACCTCCATGAATGCAGGTCATTACACCACCTATAATCATGAATGCAGCTGCAACCATATTAACTACTCTAAAGATATTCGAAAAGTTCATCTTGAATTTGTATTAAAAGAAAAAAAGAAAAAAGAGAAACAATTTTAAACGCATCAACAATGCATGGCTTTATATTTCGCCGGTCATTTATTTGATGAACAATGGCAAACAATTCGAATTGTCCTTTCTCTCTTTATCCTGTATCATGATCGTAATTTCTATGTTTATATACGACATATACGCCAGTTAATCTCCTAAAGTTGAATAGTCATTCTAAAAACGACTTAAACACGATATACACACTCTCTCTTATGTTTGATTGTTATTCTTTTCAATACAAGCACAAATGCAAAATCAATAAAAGATACATATACACAAAATTTGAGGTTAAGAGTTATTTTTTATTAAAGCAGTTACGAGAATAATATCTTCTTCATTGTATCAGAATACAGATTGAGTACATTATACATCTCGGCCTATGAAGGCGGAAATGCATTCATATTAGAGATGCCAGAATAATGCATTAAAGATTCATCATTAAAGAAAATAAAGTATATTCTCGTAATAGGAGCACTAAACAAAGAAAGAAATCATGGGTATCATTCTATAAAGTGGTCATTTAGTATATACATAACGAAAATGTAATTTAAAATATTCCATCAGACATCCAAGGAAGTGTTTGCCCAACATAGAGAGGATCTTTCGGAGCACAAAGTGTTCCTACTAAACCACGACAAAGTCTCTTCTGGAGGAAACTGCGAACACGGGATTTCATCATCACCTGGAATATCACTCTTTCTATTATAATTACCTTTTTTGTTTATAAAGCGCGAAACTTGAAGCAAATATAAAGAATACCCTGATCCTGCTTTCTACTGTCAACTAGGAAAGTCAAGAAATGAATCTAAAAGAAGTATAAGTAAAAAGAAATGATATGTGGATGTATAAAGTATAAATGTGGTCAGGAAAATATACTGGCAAGTATCAACAGCGCTCAGCGAAGCACTGTGGGTTATTTCACCATGGTCGATAAGTTAAAATGAAGACAAAATAAAAGTATTCATCGTCCCACATTTATGACTTTATGTATATTGTTATATAAAATAACTTACCAAGATATTCTCTTATTTTTGCTTTAGGAGAGAAAAGGAAAGAAAATTTTTTATTGTTAAACTGAGGCAGTGGCTCGTTATTTATAGCTGTTATTTAAATCACAGTCACTTTTTGATGTAACCCAATGAAACTTCGAGAACTGGACTGTCAATAAAAATTTTTTTCTTTACTATTTTTTCAAACCGCGTTTAAGCAAGATAATGTATAAACAATGTTATCTAGAAAGCAGGGACACGTAGCTGTCAAGATTATTAATTTATTTGGTAATAAAGTGTAAAGTTGAGAAAACAAGTGTTCTAGTAGAAAAGAAATATTTTAAATTCTAAAGGAATACTTTACGTTTATAAAGATACACAACATATATACACACACCCTGCTTTCAAGCACCAATTTTACATGTTGTCTACACTCTCCCTTTCCAGAAACTGTAGACTAAATCAAGCCATGTTGTACATATCATTTAGTTTTAGCATTTCAATTAAATTCAGTATGGCTTTTAGCTTTCTCAAATAGTTCATCTAAATTTTTCTTAACCTTTCCAAACTTTTAATAGTCTTGCTAAGCGGAATTTAATTTTTCAGCTTGCAAAAAAATATATACACACGGTAAAAACGCGTAAAAAAAAAGGCAAGCAAATTAAGTTTTCCTTTTTTATGCTATTTTTATTTCTCTAATGGATCTTAATTCGGCCATCACATTAGAAGGTTCTTCTCATCTGGTTGTCAAGTTCTTTGGTAATACACAGTTTTGCTCTTTTTGTATATAAAGTAAAAGGCATTAACTTTTTATAAACTAGAATGTGGATTGACACAGTAAAAAAAGATATTAAGCATAAAAAACATGTATCTTATTTCTTTAAATGACAGTATTTTATACCAAAGAGGAATCTACCCCTCAGATGACTTTGATGTCACAACAAAATATGGAATGAATACAGTTGTCACAAATAATCCAGAATTGAGACAATATATTGATAAAATAATCAAACAGATAGAAAGTATGATGATCAGATAATGAGATTAAATATTTACTCTAAATACATATTAATAGTTTGGCTCAAGAGTAATAGTATAAGTAAACTTGTCATTGTCATTCGAAGCGTCGAAACAGATGAAGTACTTGAACGATGGCATTTTGATATTGAATTAAATAATGGAGAGAACGGCATACCTATGCCAGAAAATATACCACCTGAGCAGTAAGAGTATATATATATATATATATATTTAAGTGATATAAAGAATGAGACTTAGTATTATTATTATTATTAGAGCAGTAGAGATACAAAAGGAGGCAATAAGACAGATCAGAGGCATCTTGAGGCAGATTACATCTAGTGTATCTTATTTACCTGAATTTAAAGAAGAATGCAAGTGTTTCATACATCATTTTTTATAAAACAATAACCCTTTCCTTCTAGGTACATTTAATGTTCTTGTCTATGGTGACAAGGATATCGAAGCACCCGTTGCATGGAGTGACAGTGATGCTAGCTTAATTAAAGGAGGAGGAGAACATGTGAAATACAAACCATTTTCTACACTAGTGCATAAAGTAGAGCCCTTTGTTGCTTACAAGCCAGATGATGATTACATGTAAAATTTACTGGATTTGTATCGGATTTTAAATAAAAAGAGAAAGAGAGAGAAAGAGTACGTGGTGCTATTGCTGTTGTATCTATTCTTTTCTTTCCTTATTTTACATCTGACATGTCTGAAGGTCATCCACAGCCAGCTTCCTCTGCTTCAGGAGCTGGTAGACAACAACAGCAACAACAAGGACAACAGAGAGAAAAGTCGTTCTTTGAGCAATTTTCAGGATCTATTATTCAAATGATCTTTTTCTGGATTGTGATGAGGATGATCACTGGAGGTACATCATTTTACTTTTATGCTCATCAACTTCTAATAAAAAAACTCAGGGTTTAGCAAATCTTCTTCTCCACCTCCTTCACCCATGCAACAACCCACGCCATCTGACCCTGTAGCTGCATCACTTCAACTTCGTGATTATGCATCAGTTCCAGATAACATTTATTACTTTCCTAATCCAATTATTCCTGACTCTGACTTGCCTGATGCCATTGTTCCTCTTTGGCAAGCAGGCATTCCTTTGGATGTTTCGATCTATATCAGTGAAGAAGAATACTTTACCGATTATAACAAGAAACCTGATATAGTTGCATCTGGTATCAACTATGGTGAGCCATTTGAAGGAAAGATGTTTACTATTGATATTCCTACTACAAAGGTACGTGTACATTTATCTGCATAATGGGGGTAGTAGACTAATACGTTTGATAAAAAAAGTCTGTTCAACATAATGGTACCATCTATGCCCACATTTTTGCTGCTCAACATCAAGTACCGATCGATCCTCGTCATCCTGCTCATGTTCCTGATGCGATTGTATATCAGCAACACGGTAATTTCAAGATAGAAGGGCGTAACATGTGAAGCTGATTTTTGATTTAATAGTCTTGACCAAGTTTTATCCTCAAAAGTCAGTTACGAAACAAAAGAATTTGCTTAAAAAAGAAGATGATCAAGAAGAGGAACAAAAAGAAACAAAAGAAGACAAACCACACCAAGATGAGGTATGCTGTACACATATATGTGGATACGATAATCTCATAAAAACAAATAGCAGAAGGATGCTTCAAGCCCCTTTAGTATCTTGGGAAACTTCACTCGTCAAGCTCCCTTGGTCGCTCATTGGCAACAGAACTTTACGCTGAGCTTGGTTATTACTCCAAATAACCCTATTCCCAAGAACGGTTTAAAGCCTCCTGTTTTGAAGTGTAAGCGATCTTTTATTATTTCTCTTTTGTATTCACTCACAGAATACATTTGTTAAAATAGATATTCCAATGAACCATCAGCTTCTTCGCGACCCCCAAGGAAAAGTTGGCTATTTCCGCCCTATTCTATTTCCCAATGACTTTTGGCAACTTCGCCAGAATGCGTTTGTAGTGAATGAGTCTGTCAGTCAACTGCCTTTGAACATTCATATTGAGCCTATCGCTATGTGGAAGTTCAACACCTTTGCCATCTTGGATGACTCTATGAAACAGCAGATGAATAACCCTCTGGGCGGTATGTCAGCTGCTGATGCAGATGAGATCAAGCGCATGTTCCTTGAGACGAACCCAGTCTTACTTGTCACGACAATCGTTGTCAGTTTACTTCACTCTCTTTTTGAAATGCTGGCGTTCAAGAACGATATTGCATTCTGGAAGAAAAAGTCAAACAGTACAGGAATCTCTGTGCGCACGCTGCTGGTCAACATCTTTTTTCAAATTGTCATCTTTTTATACTTGGTGGATAACAGTCAGGAGACGTCATGGATGGTGCTGATCAGTCAAGGTGTCGGTTTACTGATTGAAATCTGGAAGGTGCTCAAGGCTCTCAAGTATGAATTAGTCTGGACGCCCGGATCATTGATTCCCAAGTTGGGCCAGCAATCAGAAAATAGTACGACAAAAGAGGAAGATGAGACATCCAAGTACGATGCTATTGCGTTCAAGTATCTGACCTGGTTAGCCTATCCTTTGCTAGGTGGTTATGCTATCTATTCTCTCTATTATGAACAGCACAAGAGCTGGTACTCTTATGTCCTCAAGACACTTGTTGAATTTGTGTACATGTTTGGATTTATCACGATGCTTCCTCAATTGTACATCAACTATAAATTGAAGAGTGTAAGTATATCAAACTAAAGAGAAAACAGTAGCTTATGGTGTATATGTAGGTTGCTCACATGCCATGGAAGACATTGATGTACAAATCACTTAATACATTCATCGGTAAGTCGTGTGTGCGTGCATAATATGCTTCTAACATCATATTTAGATGACTTGTTTGCATTTGTTATCAAGATGCCTACTCTCCACCGTCTTGCTTGTCTTCGTGATGATGTCGTATTCTTTGTTTATTTGTACCAAAGACATGCTTATAAGGTAGATCCTACAAGAGCCAATGAATACGGCCAAGTAGGCGAAGAAAAAGAAGAAGATCAGAAGGAGACGAAAAAAAATAAATAGACAAAAAGAGAAGCAGAGTTTAATTTATTTTTAAATACGTTCAAGTGCTTCCATGATTGCGATACTATTACCACGAATTACCTAATAAAATAAAACATTAAAAAAAAGAAGGTAATCTCTCGCTTTCTTTCTTTCTTTACCACCATGCCAATGTTGTGCTTTTCGGATGGACTAATTTCTTCAACTGTTTCATCCAAGACAATGTTCATGAAGGGATCATATCCACGAAGAATACCAGTAACTTTACGATTGCCGTTCAATTGAAGTGAAAGACGCTTGTCCATGTATCTATAAAAAGATCAATAAGATCAACCAATATAACAAGTATAATTTACTTTTTTAATTCTGGTGTGCTTGTCTTTGCCATTATTTGACGTGTTTATAATGTTTGTGTGTATGTAAGAAAAAGAAAAAAAAATATATAATAAAAAAGGCAAGAGCAATTTTTTACTTGAATCGCCACTGAAATGATGACATAGGCCTCAAAAGAAAGGAGTGAATCAAATTAATATAAAATGTGTATCCTCATCTCTTCTCTTTGGTGGTATATTAAAGCTTTAGTTTATATAGAAAAAAGTTCACAAGGACTCAATATATAAGATCTCTTTTTATCTTTCTGTTTCTTTGACAGATTTATTTTAGCCAATTAAAAAATTGCTCTGTTAATAATAACTTACCATTGCTGCTCATCCGACACTGCTTACTATAGATATATTTTCTATTTTGATAATCATATGGTTGGTTAACTACACACGGCTATCCTCTATGGAGCTGTCAATAAGTTCCTACTTTTTTTTTTTATGTGATCCCCCGGCATAAATTTTTTTGCCTTTTCTTTTTTTCTTGATTAAAACAATGACTAAAATCAACAAGTTATATACATTTGTTATAATGTGTGCTGGCATGGCAGCCGGTAGCACAGTAGTTAACAAGGCAAGTTGGTCAATGAAAAAAAAAGAAAAAGAAAAACTAACGTGTAGTTGTAGGTGATGAAGCCCGACATGGTAAACAATACTCTTTTTTTTTCTGTAATTGAGAACTAAAAGCAAAGTGTGATAATATAGACTATTCCTAAAGCTGAGCTACCAAAGAAAAACGATTGAATGATTCCCATATACAACATAAGAAACGTGTTTTATGTAGAAAAACATGTTAATACAAAATTATATCAAATAAAAAGAATTCTAGAATTTAAGAGTGATGCTTCACTGACGATGATCGATTTAGCCAAGAACCAATTTTCCCAGTCAATCGGGTCACAGACCCTTTACGACGATGGTTTGAATTGACTGCCAAAGACGAAGATCGAGAGAGCTGAGGTGTTGGTGGTAGTGCCTGTTTAGGCCCCTCCTTGGTCTGTGCTATAGCTGTATTAAAATCGACCGTGTGGGCTGTTTGTCGTGAGGTCAGGGTAGCAACAGACATACCAGGTGGCGGTTGAACAGCCGTAGTTCCACGTGCATAGGTATAATTGATGTTATCTTTAGGTGGTACGGGAGGCGGAATATCTTCCTTGTCAATTGCTTCGCTGCTGCTATCACTACTATCACTGGTGGTCGCTGTAGTCGTGCTGTGATTACTGGCGGGTGGGTGATTAAGATTACTTGACTTTTTATTAAGTGACTTGGATGATTCTTTACGTAAGATAGCTTTGGATAGCTTTCTAAACAATGACTTATTGCTTGTGTGTGCACCTGAACCAGCAGTTGCGGTTAATGTGGTATTATCGTCACTGTCTGTATAAAATGTAGTAATATCCTTCTCTGCCGAATTAGAAGGTGTTAATGACTGAGGTGAATCTTCTGCTGCTACTACTGTTGTTGTTGTGGCGGTGGTGGTGGTATTAGTATGAGTATTAGGCTGATGATCCGACTGAGGTAGAGAAGGAGGCGGGACTGTAAACATATGACTTTCTGAAGGTAATTGATGCTGAGATAGAGATGAACGAAGCCAGCGTTGTATTCTACTGAGATAGTTGGTGGATATAGCAGCTGATGAAGCAATAGTAATAGGTGTTTGATTAATAGGCACCTCTGCCAGTGGACGATGAGGAGCTTCATCTACCAAGGATGTCTGACTGCTACGAGCAGAGGACGTGCCACCACCAATCGATTCTACTGAGCCCTTTCTAGAAAGACTTCGCTTAATAGAACGTACACGGTGCGCTGCTTGATGTTCCTGTGAGGCTTGTTTCTCGGCTGCTAGATAATAAAGCGATAAATAAGGATGATAGGCGGCCGGTACAGACTGCGGATCATCATACACGATGCCATCGTTTATTTCCTGGTACGACAGCGGAGGTGTGAGCGGTTTTTTGGCATGGCAATCCTCGATGTATTGTAGGGCATTTTTATAGACTGGAGACAGGATGATCAAGGTCAATTTCTGTTCGATATCCTCTGTCGTGCCTAATTGAAATCCTTGGGACATCCTTTCAATCACCTTTGGGTCAAGTGGAAGGGTCAGTGGCTTTCGAAGAGGCATATGGTTCTTGATAGGAGCTGCATCTTTATTGAGCCATGGATGATGGATGATGTCTGTCATGATGATACGCTTGGATGGATCGGTGATGAATATTTTTGAGAGCAAGTCCTTACACTCTTCGCTCATGTGACTTGGATAGGTTACATGTCCCTTTTTGATCTTTTCATGTAATCCGGGCATGGATTTATCGTCAAAGGGAACAGCTCCAGTCGCCATAACATAGATAACAACACCCAAACTCCAAATATCGACTTCGGGACCGCGATAAGGATTTGCCCTTAATAGTTCAGGGGCAGCAAAATAAAGTGATCCACAATAGGTGGTAAGGAGCCTTTCAGGACAAAAGAGGTTTGATAAACCAAAATCGATGATTTTGATCTGTCGGCCAGACTTGTCAATCATAATATTTTCAATCTTGAGATCTCGGTGAACAATTGAATTACGGTGTAAGTAATCAAGGGCGCTGACGATCTGCCGAGTGAACAGACGAGTGCGTCGATCGGATAATCGCTGTCGTTTAACGATGTAATGAAGTAATTGACCACCTCCAACATAGTCCATAAGAATATAAAAATAAGGGCCCTGTATCACAAGATCTTTGAGTCCAACAATATTGGGGTGTTTTAACAGCATCATCATATGGGCTTCTCGAATAGTCCGTAGCTCTCTGTTCTCCTCTCTTGCCTTTTCCTTTGCGATCTGTTGAATTGACTTTCCATTGGTGTATGGAGGTGAATTGAACATCTGTAAGTTGGCTCGAGGTACTATTTTGACAGCAATCTATAGTGAATATGAGCATATAGGCACCTCTTTTTTTTATCATAAAGCTGTCTATACCTTTTCACCCGTGACATTATGGACACCCAACTTGACTTTACCCATACTGCCTTTACCTAGACTCTGTTGTAGTGTATAGTTGCCGATGGCCTTGACAGGTACAGTCAAGTGATTAGGTTCGTTCGTTTTATTGACAACTGTTGCTGGTGGGATTGATTCAGTCTCAGCAACCATATTTTTTCTATCTTTTTTTTTTTTGATCCTGGGATAATGGAAAAAGGGAAAGAAAAAGAAGGGAAAAAGAAAGAATTGAAATTGCTTATAAAAAAAGGCCAGAGTCTTTTCTCAATTGAGGTAATTAACGCGTGACAAACTCTTTGTATACTTTTTTATTGACGGGAGTTTAAAAAGAAAGAATCAACTAAATAATAGTGCACAACTAAAGAAAAAACATAAAAAAAGGGTTCGTTTAATAAGATAATAAAGAAATGAAATCAATGATCATAGGTAATTTACTATCTTTTATTATAAAAAAAAAGGGCCTTGTTTAATGAGGGATGGGGCATGGCGTTGATCTTCAATTTTATATCGTTAAATAAATAATTAATGCTTGTTACACCACGTCTCTCCGACCCCCCTTTCTTTCTTCCTTTCTTTTTTCCTTGGCTTTGCGATGAAAGAGTGGGGTCATTACCATGGTAATCAATAAATGTTACTCTATGTTTGTGTTACTGCTTTTAATTTTGTTTTGTTTATATAATAGAATACTGAAATCACGAGTCATAGAGAGAATCTCTCTCAGATATGAGTTTGCTTTCAATGCACGTGGGTTTTTAGATAATGAAAAAAAAGAAACAGACAGAAAAGCTCTTGCCTCCCTAGTTGGCTTAGTACAAGAGTTCTCTGGTAATATCTAGTAGCTACTTGTATGTAATTTAATGACATGTATGCATGTCACTATGGTTACCGTTGCATAATACAGAATTGCTATTTAATAGAAGTACAGTAATGCAGGACAACACCATTTTCTGTGCTTCCGCTACATATTTCATTGTTTTCTCTCTTTTTGGGAAATGAGCCACACATTAATTATTCAATAAACAGGCTTGGTATCGATCAAATCTTAAACAACCATAAAAGTTGGCATTCATTCAACAATGGCCTAAAAAGAAGGAATTTTTTTGTTTATTTTTCTCTATGCAAGTCAATACCTCTTAAGATTTTGTATTCATACATTGATTGTATTGACAAGCTCCAATTATACACTAGGCAATAGAGACGCAACTAACCTCTTTGTCAAACTGGGTGGCGAGAATATTGGAGGTGTAGAATAATGCAACGCTTCCATAAGAAAAAAATGAGTCTGTGGATTATCTTTTTTTTTTTTATGAATTGATATGTAAGTGATATACTTGGACATAACACGGTACATACAAAACAACTCTCTCCTCTCTCTCTCTTTCTATTCTCTCCCACAATTCTCCTTTTTCGAATCTGATTGAGAACAAAGTTTTCGGCCAAGTTAAAGGCTGGTATGAGGTGTGTTTTCCTTATTACAGAATGAAAGGGCTATGGAAGTAGCAACCCTTTCTGATTTGCAAAGCTGGTTTAGACACCTTATATTTTACAGTACATTGATGGCGAATTAAGCTTTTACAAGCCGGGACTATCAAAGTCAATTACTAATACGACCAAGTTTCCAGGAATAACTGATAATAAAACAATAGGCGTGTAGTGACAATCTATTGTCGAGATCTATTAGACTTCCGCCCAGTCGTCTTATCATCATCAAAGCCTCCTTACGTAGCGTGAGAACTTCTAATCACCTCCATCGTCCTGTATTTACCGTTTCATATTTTTGTTTCTCTTTTTGGCGTATGTTGCTTTATAAAAGTTATGACTCATATCATACTATCAAATTACTACCATGACTCATTGAATTCAACATCGATGATATTCGTTGTCTGTAGCCTACATATAAATAGAATAGATCCAAATAAAGATCATTCCTAGTATCAAGCAATCACAAACGTACTATTGTCTTGATTGTCTCTTTTTTTTTGTTTTTACAAGACAAATAGACATTTCCAGCGTTACCATCACACACACATCACATCACACGCGGGGAGATTAAATGTGCGGTAAAATCCGACTGCATTATTAATACAGGGTGAGAATACGTTTCTTTTTCTTTATACACGTATTTTCGTAGTAAAAAAAATGTCAGTAAAGCCCTTTGGAAAACAGTTTAGAGCCGATTTCCCTTTAGAGGATAAATATATCCCCATCTCTCATGGTGCTCATGGCTCATATCCTGCAGCTGTTCAAGCCTACGTGGATGAATATAACAGACGCGCTGAAAAGCATCCTGATCGCTGGCATCGATTTGATTTCAGGCCTTTGCTGCAAGAAAATCTTGAGCGTGCCGCAGCACTCATCAAGTGCGATCCCAGAGATATTGTCTTTGTTGCAAACTCATCTACAGGAGTAAACAATATCCTTCGAAGCTTCCCTTTTGAAGAAGGCGATAAAATTCTTTGCGTAAGTTGTGTTAATCTGCATGATTCTATCGTTTTACTGATATCTACAGATGATAATAGTATCAAACCACGTACATTAACTGTGATAAGACGCTGGAATTCTTAACGCACTACAAAAAGGTAGAACTCGTACGCGTTGAACTCAACTATCCCTTGGAGGACGATGAAGTTATTCGTTTGACAAAAGAAGCTATTGAGAGAGAGCATGCTAAAGATAGCTCCAAAAAGATTCGTCTTGGCTTTTTTGATGCTATCAGCTCACTTCCCGGTGTTTGTATGCCCTATCAAGCCCTGACCAAACTCTTTCGAGAATATGATATTCTATCCTTCGTCGATGGTGCTCACGCAATAGGACACATTGAACTCAACTTGGCCGAGTTGGATCCTGACTTTTTTGTCAGCAACTGCCATAAATGGCTATTCACACCTCGTGGCTGTGCAGTTCTCTATGTCTCTAAACGTTATCAAGGATGGATCCATCCCCCGACGATTAATTATGCCTATCAGCATCATGATGATCCAACGGATGGGTCATCATTCAATGAAGAACACGTTCCCGGTGTCACTAACATAACCTCCTACCTCTGCATTGGCCCAGGTATATATAATATAAACTATACCTCTTCCCTCTATTCTAATTGTCTTCTCTTGCTCTTTGCTTGATCAGCCCTTGATTATCGTGAGTCGATCGGAGGAGAGGAGGCCATTCGTAAATATACTCATGAGCTGGCTGTCCAAGGCGGTGAACTTGTTGCCAACATGCTGGGTACTCAAGTAATGGAAAACTCAACCAAGACACTGACAGCTAGCATGGTAAATGTTGAATTGCCCATCAAGAATACAACCAAGACAGATCAAGAAATCACCAGCTTCTTTATGAAAAAATCTATTTATGAATACAACACGATTATAGTCGTCTATAAGAATAACAGCAAATGGTGGGCCCGATTGTGTGGTCAAATCTATATTGATTTGGATGACTTCAAGGCTGCGGGTGAAATCATTCTGAAGATAATTAAGGAACTTGAACAAGCATAACAATATTTATACTAATATAAATAATAAAAAGAATTATTGAAAAGGGGGGCTTCCATGCTCTCTTTTGTACATTTAAGTATTGCTGATATGAGAAATACGGATCTTTTTTTTTTTTTCTTTAAAGGCGCGGAAGAAGACACAGTGATTATATAAAAATGAATAATAAACTGATACGCGTCAAGAAAGACTGGCACTGTAGTCTGTAGTCACTTCAAGGACATGTATGATTAGATATTATCCTTTTTTGTTGCTCTTTTGGAGAAAAAGTAGATCTAATACTCTTCTTTATCCCAAAGGAAAGGTGTACATTGTGTGTGTATATTTTTGATTCTAATAACAGTAAAAGCCTTTAGTGATAATACATTTCCTCCTTTTTTTCCTTTTTATTTTAATCAATCAATCTCTTTCTTCTAAAGAAGCGACGTAGGTATAATATTTGCCAAGTGCCAAGTCCAAAGAGGGTGAATAAAGATAAAATGCTAAACCATTTAACTCTATCGTTTGTAGATTCTAATAAAGAGTTAGTACCCTTATTCCTTTTTTCTTTAATCATCAAGCTTTACCATTCGTGTCTCTTAATCTAGCTTCACGAGCCTTTAAATAATTCATTTCATCCACAATTTCTCTTACGACACTTTCCAACTTTCGAAGCTCCAGTTCAAGTGGAGTCAACTTTTCAGCATTTGCAATCTTTTTAAAATCAGCAGCTTCAGCACCAACACTGAACTCTAATTGAATAGGGCGTTTATATTGAGGTCCCTCCTTGAAACCTATTGGGAAAGTTTTAATACATGTTGACACTTCGTCAATTATTGTACCATTACCATCATCAAGAACATTGCTAAAGCAAACCAAGACTTCACCTTCACTATGTGTAGTAAATGCATTACGAAGTTCGCCATTGACATCACTCTTCTTTACATAAACATTAGGTGTTTCGTTGTCGTCTCTAATCTATAATCAGTTTTAGAATCAGGTCATCACTATCACAACCTTTAAGGTCTCTTTTACCTCGAGATTCACACGTTGGTTATAACCATCTCCGACATTAACAACTGCCAAAACTAAAGTATCATGAGGTACATATTGGCTGAAGCATTTGGTGCCTTCTTCAACATGGTCACTGGTTACAGCAGGTAAATCGAAATGAATGGCGTTGGCTACAGCAGCGAATAAACTCGCCACAAAGAATAAACCAAGGGCTGTTGGCTGCATTCTTATTTAATGAAAAGAGTAAAAGAAAAAAAAATGAGAGAGAAAGAAATAGTAAGTGCGTGTGTGTGTAGTGCGCGTGCGGCTTTCTTATTGACTGAAAAATATTGACGGAGTTAATGATTCTTTCTTTTTTCTTTAATGTCAGTGTTTATTACTGTTGGTTCTACAGGATTTGACGAGTTGATAAAAGTGACGACATCAAGCCTCTTTTTAGATTGTCTAAGTCAATTGAATTATAAAAGAATTGTCTATCAATATGGATCATCAGAGCCTGTGTTTAGAAGGAACATTATAGATTATAAAGGTAACATGGACATAGAGGGTTATCAATACAAGCCATCTATTACAAATGATATTCAAGCAGCAGATATTGTCATTGGTCATGCTGGTAGATAATACACGCATATGTATATGTATCTATTATTCATGTATGTATATATGTGTAGGCTCAGGTACTATACTACAGACACTTCGTTTGAATAAAAAGTTGATTGTGGTGGTGAATAAATCATTAATGGATAATCATCAATATGAACTCGCACAAGCAATGCATATAAAGAACTATGCCATTTATAGTGATACAAGGTAATGAAGACACATATCAGAATAGACAAGCACACTCATATTTTATAAATAGTGACCTAGTTAATACAATCCAAACAGTTCATAGATTTAAGCCCACCCCTTTTCCTGAGGCCAACGAAAGAGTATTTGCTGAGATTGTTGATAGGCACATGGGTTACCAATAAATCTTTTTCTCTCCCTTTTTCTCCTTTTTCTTTTCCCAGAATATGCTTATACCAATTCCTTTTCTCTTCCTTTTATTATCTCATATCCAACACACAACATGTCAAACTATACAGCTTCAAAATAACCAAATAGTCTCTGCATCATCAACATCCGCAGAATATCAGCATTATTATTTTTCAGTTCCAACACAGATTCAACTCTTGGCTCAAAAACTCAATATTTACCTCTCCATCACCAGCTGCAATCAACCTGACCTCATTGCCTTTTTATCAACAAGTAATACAACTGAACCACAGAATGGCATTCGTCTTGACAACACAAATGGTTTAATAACCTGGAATAGCAATCATTCTGTAAGCGAGATCTGGGTTGCAATAAGTGCAAATCAGACAAAAGACAATAGCGGACAATGGTCATATGAGATTGCTGCTTCTACTCAACGTAAGCTCTTATCTTTTATATATCTCATAGAGACTCATTGTTTCTATAGAAATTATGCATCCTGTCTACAACAATAGCGACCCGACTGCACCATACATCACGCTGGATGATACAGATCGAAACAGTGCCTTATTTCTTTCTAATGCCCTTGATGAACCTTTTCCAAACAGTACCATCCTCATCACATCTGGCCAACCAACTGGCCTTTCTTGGTCTCTCTGTGCTGCCAAACTTCACAGTGTCCCTCAGCTGAGCATCAACCGAACGATCACCACACGAGGGCCGACAAACGCAACTCGATACCAATTCCTGATTTCCAACTTGACAGACAATGCCTCTTATCAAGCTTATTTACTACAAGAAAACAATGGCGTGGCTGGTATCTCAATGCCAATACCAATCAAGACAAAAGCATCAGCTGTTTGTCAGTTGATTTATGATTTACCCTTTTGCAACCAAGTTGCCTACAGTGTCCCATCCAATTCAGCTGTCAGTCGCTGGGACCTTGCAGCACAGTATGATACCCAAGCTCAGGCTTTGTTTGATCCCTTTGATGTATCGCTATCTCAATTCAATTGTGAATCAACACAGTATTCGCTCGTTCGCAATTGTACCGACTGTTATCGCGATTACAAGACATGGCTTTGCTCCGTCACAATACCGAGATGTACAGATTTGACCTCTAGTGCTGGCCTTATACAGGGATCAGATAAGATTAAAGCAGCACCTGCTGTACGAGATGTACCTATTAACGGCTCCCGAAACCCTTGGATCGATAGTACCTTACAGCCTAGCGCATGGACAGAATTACTTCCCTGTATTGATCTATGCTATCACGTAGTTCAGAGCTGCCCCCCTTACCTACAGTTCTTTTGCCCTGTAGGTGATTTGGCTTCCGTTCAGTATGGATACTGGCAGACTGGAAACGCGACAGTTAACGGAACGACATATCAATTTAACCTTAATAACCCAACGTGTAATCGTATGGGATTAGATATCAAGCTACTGACACTTAGTAGCCAAGGACATAAGCTAAGAACCTTTTCATGCTCCTTTTGTATAGTTTTCTTTATGATTTTCATTCTTTTATAGACCTTGTAAATTATTCTATTCTTTCAAAAAAAAAACTAATAAATTACTCCTTATAGAGAGAGAAAAGGGGGGAATCTAATTATTCATGCAATACAAATGTTTGTTTGTTTTTTCTATACACATTGAGCCATGACTTGAAGTGAGTTGATTACATCCTGTACCGTTGGCAAGTACCAAAGTGCCTGTGTTTGTCGATCTTCAGGACCCACCATGACTGAGAACTTTTCATTGAGATCTGCTGCCTTTTTCAATGTCTTGAACATGTCTTCATCTGTACGATCATCACCACAGCACATCACAAAGTCAAATGGAGTATTGCTGGATACCAATAGGCGTTTCAAAATCTCACCCTTATTCACCATCGTCGGGCGTACTTCCAAGTTTTTCTTGCCCACTAATACTTCCAGAGGCAACTTACTAAGGATGGCCTGTTCCAAATGGTTCTGGCACTCCTTGGCTTGGAATGCACCATATTCTGGATCAGCAAGACGGTAATGCCAGGTAATGGCACACCGTTTATGCTCAATAAAACTACCAGTCGTTCGCTCAGTATAGTAAGTAAATATTTCCAATACATCATTCTTCCAGCTCATATCAAAGTGCTCAGTCAGGTTAATCCATTTCTTGCTGTATGGGTACCGCATAAATGAACCATGTTCTGCACTTAGGCCCAGGTTTTCTATATGGCCAAGCCAGTTAGCAAGTGCATTTTCGTCACGGCCAGATATGATCCAAACTTCATTGTGAGGGTCTTGACATAACTTTTCGAGATACTTTAGCATGTCTTTGGGGGGAACAGCGGCCATAGGTGTCTTTTGTATTGGTGTTAATGTTCCCTAGGTTATATGTTAATATCAGCACAAGATTGATATGTCTTCTTACATCATAATCAAAGCAAAGAAGTCGCTTTTTGGATCGTTGATACTGTTCTTTAAGATAATCCAGTTTAAGCTTTGGCGTATTCTTGCTTTGTTCAGATAACATGCAGGTATGTATTAACATTTTGACAAATGAATGAGCCCAAAATGAGGTTGTATTAGATTTAACGTGTGCTAATAATTGCTAATAAACAAAAATAAATCACAGTGTAATTTATAGATTTTTTTTCTGGTTGCTTTACCATGTGCCTTGTCATTTTTTCCTCTTCGCTCATTGTGAGTGCGTCATTGATTGCCTTTGCAACACCAGAGTAATCCCAGGGGTTGACAAGTAATGCCGAACCCATGGACCCTGCCGTACCCGTTAATTCCGAAACAATCAAGGGCCCGTGCTTTTCCTGTTGACACATGACGTATTCAAGACTAGTTGTGTTCATGCCATCTCTAATAGATGTAATCAGGGCTGCATCAGCGCTTGATAGCAATGCATAATATTCTTCTGTCTGTATCTGATGGTAATAATGATAGACGGGTGTAAACTCTAAAGAGCCATAAGCACTGTTAATATGTGCAACCATCTCTGACACTCGACGTTCATTCTTGATGGTATCTGCCGAACTTGGTGAATCGGTTACTTGGATCAGGACCACCTTATTTTGCCATTCAGGATAGTCTGAAAGGAATTTTTCAAAAGCAGCAAGCTTCTGAAGGACGCCCTGAACGAGATCGAGTTTATCTCTTCCTACCAAGATCTTCTTATCAGAGTACATTTCAGCAATAGCCTGAATTTTTGGAATCACATCTGCACTTCTTCGAACAGCGTCTACTGCATTAACATCAATACCTATGGGAAAGGTACCAACATGGCAAAAGTGACCATCGTACTCAACACCTTCCGGAGATGACTCGTAACCCAAGACCCGAGTCGATGTCGAGATAAAGTGTCTAGCATTTGCATATGTCTATCATGTAGTTTTTCCCTTCTTAGAACAAGAGCGTATAACATGATTCGTTTTAATTGTACCTGAAATCCTACCAGGTTGGCAGCCAGCATCCCTTTAAGAATTTCCTGGCGTTCTAACAAAAACAAAAACAAAAAAAAATCAGCTTCAATCCTTCTTCTTGTTTCCATTTTTCTTTACTTGGTAAACATCGAAAGATTTCAGAACTTGGGAAAGGTGAATGTACAAACAGACCGATACGAGCCTTGGGAAGCCTTTTACGGATCATGCTAGGAGCTAACAATAAATGATAGTCATGGATCCAGATCGTATCCCCATCTTGATACTGTTCTACTACTGTATCAGCATATTTTTGGTTTACTGCTTCATAATAGTTCCACTGGGTTTTTTCAATTCGTCCATCCGTTGCATCGTTCCACACTATGTAATTAAAAAGTGGCCACAATACTTTTTTTTTGGGTTAGTGTATGCTCTTTCTTTTTAGTATAAAAAATTGTCAAATACTTGCATGTTTTGCAGTACCCATGGTAATGTCCTGCTACACTACTGCTATCTAGAAATAATGGTATACAACTATGTTCCTGATAAAGTTGTGATTGTAAAGAATCTTTCTCTTGATCGCTCAACATGTCAATCTCATAACGATCGACATTTTCTAAGCTCGGTGAATCTTTATAGATTTGACCTGTCCAGCCGATACATAATGTTTCCCATTCGTCGATAAGGGAATGAATGCCTGCGTACATGGCAGCATGTTCATGACGAGGTCTAAATGTCCACTGTAATGATCCTTCTTCGTCTGTTTCATGGATAACTTCAAAGGGTATTTGATGAGTAACATGGATGATACGTCCCTGGTGATTATCGATTGGTAATAATGGTAAAAAGGAAAAGTTATTATTCCCAGTAGTCATAAGATAAGAGATAGAGGAGAAAGAAGTAGATTTATTCACTGATAAATGGGGTTTTAAATGTGAGATTAAATATGTAGATCACGTATCTGTCTCTGTGTCGATGAAGCTTTTGTACACTGAGTCTATAGGAGATCATTCAATCTTGGTTCCAAACAGTTAGTTTATAACCTCTCGGCTGGCAAGACTATTGTAACTATGAACAACAATCTTTGGCCGGGATACCATTTTATGAAAAGAGAAAGAAAAGGGGACTCAGTTAATGAAAAAGAGAGAGAGATATGTTGGTTTATTAATAAATGCAAGTTGTTGTGTTTATTTGAAGACCTTGCCATCAACACAGTCTTCAAAGTCCCAAGCCAAGTACTTGTAGAATTCTTCCTTCTTTTCTTCATATTGAGAGGGTTCAATCTTGGTGAAGTTGAAAGAGGGAAAGTCAGCAGCGTCAGAGATTTCGAAAGGAACTTCTTGACCACGGATGACGAAGTAACCGGAAATGGTGTTGTTGTTGTTTTCACCACGGACGATCATGGAACCGAAGGCATACTTGTGAGCACGTTCAAGACGAGCATAGAAACCACCAATTAAGTTGTTGGACATGAAGGTCAAAGTCAATTCATCATTGTACTTGTAATCAACCTTCCAGATAGAGAAACCCTCAGGGTCGAAGTTTTCCCAGAACCACTTGATAGCATCCTTGGTGTCATTGTTGGAGTATTCACGCTTCCATTGATCCAAGATAAACTTGGAAGGAGGCAAGAGATCCAACTTGGACTTGGGCTTAGGAGCAGGCTTAGGCTCTTCTTCAACAGCAGCAGCTTCCTTCTTGGCAGGAGCAGCTTCCTTCTTAGCAGGGGCGGCTTCCTTCTTCTTGGTTTCCTTCTTAGGGGGAGTGTACTTCAAGGGAGTTTCACAGAGAGTGAATTCACCGAGATACTTCTTGAAATGAGGCTTGTTGGCAACAGTGTTGAAGTAACGGGTGACGTTCTTGAATTCAGCACGAGCAGCCTTATCAAGTAAGTTGGTGTAAGCGTTGAAGAGACTGGTGACAACAGCGATATCAGCATAGGTGACATCGTTACCAACGAGGTAGGTCTTGGTCAACAAAACAGAGTTCAAAGCACCCAAGGCACGCTTGAAGTTGGCAGTGGCGGTATCAACAGAGGGCTTGAGGTAAGGAATGAAGCCCAAGAGAGGGTACAGCCAACCACCCAAGTTGGAATTGAGTTCGGTTTCACAGAAAAGAACCCATTGCAAGATCAAGGCCTTTTCAACAGCATTCTTACCCAAAAGAGGAGAATCTTCCTTGAGAGCTGCGGCGTAGTAGCCAATAGCAGAAGATTCAAAAAGGTCGACTTGAGCAGATTCAAGGACAGGGATCTTACCCATAGGGAACTTGGCATAGAATTCGGGGGTTCTGTCCTTGGCAAGATCGAATTGTTCAACGTTGAATTCCAAACCGTTGTAGGCAGCCTAAAATTAAGAATTAGCATCTTTTCTTGAACTGCAATTATCAAACATACAGCAATGCAAGCCTTGGCGACACGGGCGTTGTTGGGGTAGGTCTTGATGGTCTATCGAAGCTTATGAGTATTTAAATATGATGGATGGATGTGAATTACATACACCAATGGGGCTCATCTTTGAGTATTGAACGGATGAAATCTGCTGTATGTGAGACCTTTATGCTTAAAACATCTGAGAGAAATTCCTTTGGCCAATAAGAACCCACCAATTTGTTTGACATTTTCTCTCTCAATTTAACACTCATTGAAGCTAAATGTAGACGTTAATGAGACATACATGGCTTAATTTAAGAAAGAAAGCCAGAGAGTAAGAAAAATAAACCAATGACGAAGAAACAACAAGCTAACTCATTCATCTGTCGCTCTGCACTGTTTGTGAAGGTCAAAGCTTAAGACATTCGGTCATACGTGTTTAATCTTTTTTTTTTCTCTTTGCTCACTACTATATTTGCTATCCGAATACTTGAATTATGAGTATACTTATCATTGTGATTGACAGGACATTAGTTGTATTTATAACTACAATCTGCCTCTGTTTCTAATAAAGAATGTAACAAAAACTCAACGAACTACCTCACAATTAATTTAAAACGATAAACATAGAAATTCCTGTGGAAAATGCTGCAAGATAAATGAAAGTAGCTGAAAAGAATATCAACATTAATCATTAGGTTGAATGCAATTGATGAAAACAATGAACAAAAAATCACAACAAAGAACTAATATGCAAGAGTCACGTGATAAACATGATGACGTATATCTCATTATCCAATAAATCATTTACAAAGAAAGGCGTAATATATTTCCATATCACATGACTATCACACGATTATCACGGGTTATTATTTATAATATAAAATTTTAGACCTCAAACGTTCGTAGCGGAACCGGCCTTAGCTCAGTTGGTAGAGCGGAAGACTGTAGTGAATGCTGTCATCTTTAGGTCACTAGTTCGAATCTGGTAGGCCGGAATCCCGTAACAAATACGGTTATTTTTTGAATTTTTGAGCGGGTAAATAATTATCCTCATATTACAACCTTACTTCTATTTTAGTGTGATATTGAAGCACAATTTCCTTGTAACGCAAAAGATGCCGAAAAGGGTAACTCTGTGGAACTGAATCCTGACAACTTTAGTTGATAAACTAATTAAAGTTAATTTATCAACTAAGGTTAACTTATCAACAACTGTTGATTTCAAGAAAAGGAAAGCCAACAAAAATCAAAAAAAGTATTGATACCCTTTTTGGTGTGACAGATTTGGTACTTTTGCACCACCTAGGGAGCATTAGTACTCCGTCAGTCACGACTGACCTTGACACTCAGTCAGTCATGACTGACTGTACCTAAATATACAATCTTACAGTATAAATACTCTTGCTCGTTGCGTCCTTCTTGGACAAGACATTGAATATTTGAATAAAACTACCCCTCTATCGTTATATTTTTTCACCTCTCTTATAAATCCTTTCTTTAAAAGATTTATAATCCTTTTTTTATTTTCTTTTCTTTTCATTATTTACTTAAAATCCTTTCTGATCTAGTACCAACCTCATACTACTGATCGGAATAGTCCTTGTACCTTTTTATTTTTAACCAATTACTTTATTTTTATACTTTATAACTCAATTGCTTATTTTATCTGTTATAGATCTGGTGGTCACTATCATAAACGGCTTTATAACTCAAAACTTACACTCTAACCTTACCCAAACAAATAACCAATTCTACATTGGTATCTTATACTCTGTATGTCCAATGCAAGTTTTAATGATTTATGATTTATGATTTATCATATATCATTTATTATTTATCATTTATCATTTATTATATATATTATATTGCATATTTAAACAGTATAAATATCCCCAAATTATTCATGAAATAAACAATATCGAAGAATCATCTAAGAATTATCTTATCTTCAGATCACAATAACCTCTATTCTATCTTATATCTTAAGCAACAATTGCTTAATAACCTTTTTATTTTATTTTATTTTACTTTATCCCACAAGACTTAGCATTATATTGCTCTATATTGATCTTATATTAAGATCTGGTGGTCACTACAATACCAAATTCTACTTATAAAACTTATTTTCAACCTTACTACTAACACCTTTTCCCCCTTACTAACACCCAGTAGCAGTATATAAACCCAAGACTCTCTCTCTCAAAAAAAAAAAAAAAACTAGCAGTTCACCTTATCTTTTTATCATATACAATAAACAGACAACCTTTTTGGTTATAAAAGTTCCTGGTCTCTTCTTTTTATCTTTTACTTTACTTTATGCTTCACCCAATATTAACAAACAACCCCTACAGCTTCAAAGAAAATAACAATATCAAGAAATGCGAGTGCCTCAACTAACTTGTCAACCATGAAGTTCATGCTCCCCAATTGTATTCTTTTTATTTTTATTAGAAATACCTTTGGCCCTTTGGGCAAAAATAAAGGACATTCAATAAAGTATTGATACTCCTCGTTATTTATTGAATCATCAACAGACTTTGTCCAAAAATCGTTTTTAACCTCTCTTATAAATAAACATTACGCGTCAGAACAAAAAGTTTGCTTACCTTGATCTTTGAAAGTAAAGAGTTGTAAAGTAAACATAAGCATTTGCATATTTTAACCAGATCCCAATCTTTGAGTGTACAAAATTTCGAAATATCAGCCAGTATGTTTGTTCATAGCCCAACATTAGTTTACAGAGACGATAAAATACCCAAGATGTTTCATTCTATTTTTTATTCGCGATGCACATCATTACCCTTTCTCAAGCTAACTCTTGTTTTCATCTTCACTTAAATTCCTGTTATTCTAGACTATTTTAACAAGAGTAACGCACTTGATACAACTAATGTAATACAGTTTTCATTAACTGTGTTTAACACTTGATAAGACACACAGATAGCCTAGTAATGTACTAATACTTTACACGCTTTTTATTTTATTTTTTTTGTTGACCTATTTTCCTTTTCTTGTTGATGTGTGTGTTATTCATTTTTATATCCTTTTTAAAATTCCTTCTTCTTTTCATCATAACTTAACCCACCAGGGCCAGTGCTGACCAATAACAAGAAACCACCAACTGTACTTAAAGACTGGAAGAAGTCGTATCTTAAGAAATCGCGCTTGTAGTAACTGTGTTGAACTGACCAAAAGTTGTTGACAAATACATTCAGAACAGATAAGAAGAGAACCAAGAACATGGCTGACCATTTTGCTTTGAAGCCAACAGCTACCATGACACATGCAGCCAAGCCAACGAGAGAGACAACAATACGCATTAAAGACCAATCACCATGGAAAGCGGAACCAATGAAGAGAAAGATAAGCAAGATACGACCTGCGAGTTGTATGTACATGCGACGGTTTGTTTCTGAAATTTGTGGTAAAGCAGCAAACATTTGTTTGCGTTTAACCATAGTTTCGGACAAGACCATCATTAGACCACCCATCACTGACAAGTTACGTAAAAAGAAGGACATATCAAAAACTAAGCCATATCCAAAAGCTTGACTGACAATCACGCCCATGAGACCATAAATAGCATATGCTTGATGCCTTTTAGCGATGATCAAGGAAGAGGCACTGAGCATGACCTATAATTGTTTCCACATGAGTCAGACGTTTCTTATTTTTCTCTCCTTTTTCTAAAACACGAAATATTTACCAAAACATTAAGGCCAAGGAATAAATGACTAAGACCTCTTGGGAAGTGTCTGACGTCTTGCATAAAGCTAAGTTGATCTCTCCACTGAGTGACAATACGTAAGGAGTCTTCAAGGAATGTAGCAACAATAAGGAATCTTGACATGGCTGGGATATAAGGTTTTAAAGGTTGTCCTACTTTATCAAGGATATCTTCTGCCTTTGTACTAAAGGTTTCCATTTGTTCCTTGACGCTTGCCATATTCGACATTTTTTTTTTCTTTTTCTGCTTTAAGAAAGAAAGAAAAGTGTTTATAAAAAAGAAGAGAAAAAAAAACCAACCAAATATGCTTAATCTTTTCTTGTGCCGATCGGTTACTTAATTAACAACCAATAAAAACTTACCACAACCAAAATGATTGACATTCTGATTATAGTCTTATGCAGCGAGCAGTGAAAGCCTTTATGCATATAGTGAAAGTATCGTTTGCTTGATTTGTATTCATACATTCACACTTTTTTGTTACTTTGCTTTTATAAAAGTTATGCGTATAGCAAGTTTTTTATTAATGGAAAGAAAGAAAAAAAAGGGGAAGATTATTAGAGAACTGTCAAAATTTGACCTGCAGTCCAGGTTTGACCTCCTGCCAGTTTAACCCAATCAGCTACACTTCCAGCTTCAACACACACCATGCTCTTATACTCTTCATCATCAAAATCATTTAAACCCTTTGCCTTTTCGATCCAAGGATTCCATACAACTGTGTCTTTCAAGTTATTCTTCTCTATGCAAATGACATTTCCATCGCCAATTTCAAGAAGAAGCTTGTCCTGCACATTCTTATAAACTCTGTCTATTTCTTGTGAGATTGTTATCTTTTCATTTTTCTCCAAGGCTTTGGCACCTCCTTGTACTTTGTCAATATATTCACAAGAAGTCAATCCTTGAATCTGCACTTTGGCAATGTCCTAACAGTGATTTTTGATTATCTTTTGATAATCTCAGTTTCCTTAGTTACTACTTACAGGAACTGCAAAATAGGTGTGAAGAAGCGTGTTGAACTCAAATGTGTCTTCATCTTCATTCTTCAAAGTACAGACTGTTTCCAATGAACTCTTTGTCAATGTGACAGTATAAATTAAGCGAAAAGAGTGTGGCCATGCATTTCTGGCTTCTTGTGAAAGTTGGGTGTCTTTTAATCCCAAACGGACCGAGACCTTATCGTTATCAGTGACAATTCCAAGGTATTCCCAATATGTATTACGAGCAAAGCCTAAGTAAGGTTACGAGATGAGAATCATTCATTTATAAATTATATGGCTTTTACCGTGTTGGGGAAGACTAATAGTCTCTTTAGTGCCAAAGATAGGGAAACAAATTGGAATTCCTCCACGAATAGCTTTGCTTCCGTCACGTTTGGCTAATTTACTATTCATCCAAAGTTACTTTATGAGATAACAAACCATCTTTTGAACGTTTACCTAACAAAAATACGTTCTTTACCATCAACCACCCAACTAGTAAGGGTTGAGCCTGATAAGACGCGTTAAAGCAAAAACGTAAATGTATTATTCTAGAATATAAGAGCTTTGTTATCATACCAAAAAGAGCAATTTCAGCTTTTGAACCAGAAGGATGTTCAAGGTGAATGACTTTATTAGATTCGTGAGCAGGCATGTTTATAAAAAAAAAAGTAAAGTACAAAAAAAAAAAAGAAAAAAAGAAAAACCAAAGCAGACAACTTAAATTCCGCATTTTACAAATAAAATTAAGCTTGGTCATCTTTCTTGTTGCTCTCTTCCTCTTCCTCTTGAATGACGGATTCTTGATCACCAACAGGTGCCATCTTCTCTTCAATCAAGTTTTTCTCTTCTGTAGAGGCAGTGCCTGGTTCATGATTACGGTGAACGACTAAATCTGTTTCGCCAGAGGGTAATCTTTCAACCGTTACTTTTGCCGTCTCGCCAGTACGGATACCTCCGTCGATCAATAAGCGAGCCAGTGGGTTCAAGAGCTTCTTTTGAATCAAACGGTTCAAAGGACGTGCACCATAGGCAGGATCATATCCGCGCTCGCCTAACCAGTCTCTAGCCTTGACATCAACGTCAATCTTTATGCGGCGATCACTTGTTCTCTCCTCAATTTCCTTTAAGCGAACATCGACAATATCTCTAAGAGCTTCCTTTGATAGGCGGTTGAATATGACCATTTCATCAATACGATTGATGAATTCTGGTGCAAATGAGTGCTTAACTGCATCAAGTACGCGTTCTTTAGCCATTCGACTCACTTCACCACTAACCCCGCTATCTGATACTAAAGCTTCCGCGCCGAGGTTAGACGTCATGATGATAATTGTGTTGCGGAAATCGATTTTTCTGCCTTTTGTATCCGTCAAGATACCGTCATCCAAGACTTGTAATAGAATGTTGGAAACATCTCTATGAGCTTTTTCCATCTCATCCAAGAGGACAACAGCGTAAGGTCTACGTCTAACCGCTTCAGTAAGTTCGCCGCCTTCTTCATGTCCGACGTATCCTGGAGGAGAACCGATCAAACGACTAACACTGAATTTTTCCATATACTCAGACATGTCAACTCGTACAATGGCATTCTCTGTATCAAACAGGAATTTTGCAATTGTCTTACAGAGCTCAGTCTTGCCCACACCTGTAGGTCCCAAGAATAGGAAAGAAGCAATGGGTCTAGATGGATTTTGAAGACCAGCTCGGCTGAGGCGAACAGCTTCTGCTACAGCCTTGATTGCCTCATCTTGACCAACAACACGCTCCGATAAGACCTCTTCCATATGCAGCAACTTTTCTCGTTCACCCTTCATAAGGTTTCTTACTGGAATACCCGTCATATGCGATACTACGCGTGCAATGTCATTTGATGTCACACGCTCATGAATAAGCGACTCAGGGTTCTCTTCTTCTGCTGTGTCTGTCGGAAGCTGCTTTTCCAAGCCAGGAATGACACCATAACGAAGCTCAGAGGCACGCTGGAAGTTACCGTTTCTTTGAGCTGCTTCTAATTCAACACGCGCCTTTTCTAACTCTTCTTTGACTCGCTTAATATCTTCCAATTTTTTACGCTCTTGGTTCCAAATGGCTGACAGCCGTTCGCTTTCTTTTTGCTTTGTTTCAAGATCAGCCTTTAGCTTTTCTCTTCGCTCAACCGACATGACGTCTGTTTCTTTGCGCAAAGATTCCAATTCGATCTGAATTGTCATAATTTGACGATCCAAAGTTTCAAGAGCCTCTGGTTTACTTTCTTGCTGTAGTCTAAGCTTTGAGCAGGCTTCATCAAGTAGATCAATAGCCTTATCTGGAAGGAATCGATCTGCGATGTATCGGTGTGAATGAAGGGCTGCTGCAACAATAGCAGCATCAGAGATACGTACACCATGATGTACTTCATAACGTTCCTTAAGGCCACGGAGAATAGAAATAGTGTCTTGTACTGAAGGCTCGTTTACCATGACCTGCTGAAAACGTCGCGCTAAAGCTGGATCCTGCATGATGTACTTGCGATATTCATCAACAGTTGTTGCACCTACACAGCGAAGTTGGCCTCTTGCAAGAGCAGGTTTGAGCAGGTTACCGGCGTCCATGGCTCCTTCTGACTTTCCTAGGCCGAGAAGCATGTGTATTTCGTCGATAAATAAGATAATCTTTCCCTCAGATTCAGAGACTTCCTTTAGTACACCTTTCAACCGATCTTCAAATTCTCCTCTAATATGGGTATTAGGCGTTGATGTTTTCATCGAGTAAGTTACTTTACCTGTATTTAGCACCAGCCACAAGTGCCTATGTATAGATACATTAATGTGTTTGAATCTACAAGGGAGTTTGCTTGGTCCTACTTACTCCTAAATCTAATGCAATTACTCGCTTTCCTTGAATAGACTCAGGAACTTCATTAGCGATAATACGTTGGGCAAGTCCCTACGTCTTCAGTTTTAGGGGTATGTTCTTGCATATATCACCTCAAACTTACTTCAGCGATAGCAGTTTTACCAACACTATTAGGGTATTAGTTCTCTCTTCCTTTGTTGTTGTCCTTATATTCTTACCCTGCTTCACCAATAAGTACTGGGTTGTTCTTTGTACGTCGAGCCAAGCTATAGGAACAACGTCAATCTCTCTCTCTCTCTCTCTGAATGATTTATAGAATAGATGTCCTTACACTATGAAAACCCTGGTGTTATAACTTTGATAATGCCCACTTTTTCCATAAGCTTACCTTCAAGTGTCCTTCGAATCTCCTCATCACGTCCAATAACAGGGTCTAGATTAATGCAAAGTTTTAATCACCGAATTGGAAATCTCCAGAATCAATTTACCTAATTTGCCCTTTTCTGCCATCGCAGTAAGATCAATACCCTAGCATAGACATTAGATATTCTATTATTATTAATCTATAATCCATTGCGTTTTATTACATATTGCTCTAGTGCCTTTTGTTGTTCCTGAGCCTGGTTTGGATTTAATCGAAACCCACCTTGAGGCATGCCACCTGTCAGTTAAAGATAAAGAGTGTTAGCTGAAAGGATACTCGGAGAAGAGACAGCTTAGGAAGATTTACCATTGTAGAGTCTCTTTGAGTTATAGAGTAGACCACTGTTTGTTTTCCAGTGCTGCTGTCTTAAAGTGATTGCAATAGTGGAAGAAGGAATTTTGACATTGCATGACTTTTTCACGTCATTCAAGTATAATGAACGACGCGTTATTTTTGTTACTGTTGATGATGTTGTGTTACGAAGAATGCTACGTTGAGATAGTCTTAACATTATGTAAAGACAAGAAAACAAGAGAAAAAGAAAGAAAGAATAGAAAGTGCTGGTGAATTTATGCGGAGCAACCAGTGTGTGTGTGTGTGTGTGTGTGTATACAAAAAACCCCAGCTATTTTATTTTATTTAAAGGTAGAGAGACTGTATGTTTTTACTAAACAAAGATACAAATTATTTGTATTTTACTATTCAATGACTATATCAATATATCCCACTACATTAAATCAAAAACGTATAAATATCAATATTTTTAATGCTTGCTTTTCCTCTTTGTTTTTCTCCTTTTTTGAAATAAAATTAAACACGAAAAAGACAACAAAGCAGGTTAAAGATAACGTATCTTTCAAATTCATATTTACTATCCAATATAATAAAGTTTGCCTATAACACTAAAGAAAAGTAACTTATAAGTTTTATTCAAACCATATCAGTCATGGTTCACTAAACTCTAGCCTAGATACGTGATCGTAGATGAAGCATCAAAGTTCCTGGAGCCGACTTTGCTGCCTATTATTGTTGTTCCGCATGTGAAGCATTTGGTTCTTCTGGGAAATGCAGAAGCGTCTTCTCGTCCTCGTATGTCCTGTAATGCCTTCAAAGATGATCCTCATTACATGGATACTTCATTGTTTGAAAAAAAGGGATATAGTAATCAAGGCTTTTGTTGGGAAGACTGTAATAAAATGTATGAATGTGGAGTCCATAAGCGCTGAGAAATGGTAAAAAGCTTATAAAAAGAAGACACTTTCCGTAGAACGACCCACTCTCCAAACGTGAGAATAGAAGGCTGTGGGATCATCATCCTTAGTCTTTGGAGACGAAGCTTGATGGATAAGCTATGATCGTTTGTTGGACACCACTTGGTGTCAACTATGGATATGATTGATTTTGGATGCATAATTGGCTATGCTACCCTTAGTATTTTTATATATTTTTTTCAGAAAAAGCCATGAATCAAGATCCTTCCGCTTTTGGTCTTTACAAAAATAAACTTATTTTAATTCCAGATCATAGCTTAATTAGTCTCTGTTTTATTCCTTTTTTTTTGCTTTCTTTCCCCTTTTTAAATGACTGCCGAGTATTCTTTACTAGAGCAGCAGACACCAAGGCAAATATCTAAAAAAAGATGGCATGCTTTAATCTTGGCCATTGGGATTATCTCTGTTACATCTTATTTAATATACTTCACTCGGTCAAATTATATTGATTCATTTGAAGAGGAGGAGGGAATGGATCAAAATCTAGATCTATCGGATAGCCCATCATCAAATAAATCACCCACAAACGCTTCTAATATTCCCAATAGAAATATCAACTTTACAGTCCCAACGCAGAAAGAACCATATTATATTGATTTGGATAAATACCCAGTGGAAGATAACATGCTCATTTGGTTTCCTGGATCAAGGGGAATGATAGAGACAGTAACCATCAATAAGCTTTTGAAAAAATCAGTGTCCTGGACAGAGCAGTGGTTAGACCATACAGCAAATCCCTCCAGTGACACATTCGCCTGCGCACGACAGCCTATTCCTTACCCTATTCTCCGTCATATCGTGGCTGAATATGTTCCATCAAATGATTCAGATGACTTTTTTGAAGATAACAGTATCAACTTGAACGAACCTTTTGTTCTTTTGCCCTTTTCCAATCAGTCAAGTCTTAATCAAGGCGATCAGCTGTGCATAAGGTTGATCGTGCCTTATCGACCTATAGATGCTGAAGACCCACACCATTTTCTGTATAAGCCCTATCCAAGAAATAATCAAGATTTGACCTACCCCTGGTGGGATACTGCCATGACCTGGCTTCAGAACTTGAAAACAAACGCAAGCCTTCCTATTCAGATGCAACCTTGGTCAGGCCACAGACTGCTAAGAACAATGGCAAGAATGTTGAATCATGTTAGCACTAACCTTCCAGAGTGGGCACGTCTAAGGGAAGACGAATTGTATGAACGAATGAGGATGCGTATTTATGAAGCTCAAATTACTCTTCCTCAGGAAGGTGAATACAAACTTTTTGCGCTCTTGGAATTTTTGGAAGGCAGGTACAACTTTGAATACGGCCCTGTGACACCTTATGCACCTATCGAATTACCTGTCCTACCTACTCAAAAGCTGCTTATTGGGGATGGAAATAATGATGACCCTGAGAAGCTCGCAGAGAAATTGCTGGATGAGCATCTACAATTACCTCTCTGTTCCGGTTCAGATCATCCTGGAAGATGGTTGCCTTGGCCAAAGTCACGTAAACAGGTTCAAGTCTTAGGCCTTACTCGTCATGACAAATACTGGGCTCCTTATAGCTGTAGATATCGTCATATAACATATGAGCAATTCAATCGTTGTGTAGCTCACAAATACAGTCGTGGGATGGATATGTATGGTGACTCGAACATCCGTCGATCACTTAAAAAGTTTATTAGTCACGGTCATTGGTGCAAACACTGGGAAAATCACATTACGGAGTCTATTGTTCCTGACGATCTCTTACCTAATATCAACAAGACTTTAACATCATCTCTGGACAAGCGTCAGGCTACATTACCTACACAAACTATGAATCAGTCCGAGATTGGTTACAGCTCCCCTCAAGAATACAAGTATTTCATACCTGAACAGACAAGAAGTTGCTACTGCGAAGATTACACGGAACCATTTTGGCAACCCGTGTGGTTTGATGCGGGTGGACGGCGTGTGAATGTGGATATGAACAATACAATTGCTCAATCGAAACGTCTAGGCCACACAGAATGGGATGATCCCGAGATTAGGAAGCGTAATCCTAGAGATGCCTTTAAAATTAGCTCATATAAATGGGATGGCCTTACATATCTTAACAATCCTCCTTGGCAAGCTGCAGTGGATGGTAATACTGTAGCTACTGATGTAGCAGTGTTTTCGCTGGGAAATTGGGATGCTGCCTTTTTAGAATTAGAGCCCTATCTAAGAGATGTAGATCAACTTATTCTACAAATCAAAACTCATTATGACCTCTCAAGGACTCGTATTGTCTATCGTACACCTCAATTCTATTGCTGTCGAGTGGACCGCTCGTCTCGTGATCGACAAGTGAGTGGTCCTCGAGTGGATGTATTTGATGCTGAGGTCAGGCGCAGGTTTGTCTCAGAACTTAATGCAACTGTCTGGGATACGAAGATACTGGGTGAATCAAAGATATGGGAGGAGAAACTGGAAAGCATTAATTGTCCTTCAAATCATGTAGCAGCTGATATTGTTGATATTGAAAATCAAATATTTATGAATGGCCTTTGTAATAATGTGTAAATAATAAAGAGATATAATTTATTGCTGTTGTACAATCAAGGAATCTCCAGATTCGATCAAAGCTTGATGGCCAATGTCTACTGTCTTCTTATCTGATTCTCGGGTCACAGAAAACTCTACTGTCCTCCATTCGTAGCCAACTCGTCTTGATACAAAATGCACACGCGCTCGTTCGTCTAATAATAAAAAGTATAATTAAAAAGGGAAGGAATTGCGTCTTTACTGTTTTTTCTCCTTACTTGATGATCCCTTAATGTCAAATGTAATGTCAACTTTTCCTTTCAAGTGATTTACAGTTCCACCAATCCAAGGCCAGCTATCAGCATAGTTCACGCGGTCTCCTACGAGAGCAATCACACGAGGGTCATATTTTACAGTAAATAATGTGCCATGAACGACACTGCTTGACAAACGTTGGTGGTTTAAAGCTGCACCGAGACCAACAGCCCAGACGACAGCACCGACACCTGCACCAGCCCAGATCCAACGCTTTCTAGAGGGTGGAGGAGGACTGGGTAATTGACGATCGACAACAACTGTTTTTGAGGCAAATAAACGTCGTCTGGTAGTATTTATAACGATGGCTGGTCTGAGGCGAAAAGCTAAAAATGACATGAAGAAAAGAGGCTGGGCCCTAGTTACGGCATTTTAACCCTAAAAGCAAGTCTGAGGTTAAATAGCTAAAAGACTAAAGGATAGAGTTTGTCCTGTTTCTAAAGAAAAAAAAGCATCTCTCCCTGCCAGGTGCATCCTCAAAGTAGACAGGTGAGATAGTCATACCAGTGTAATACTAGCGCCTTTATCTCTCTTGTTCTATTCAAATGTGGAGAAGATAACGCTTAAAGAAATACTCCGAGACAAGTATTCCTACAAAAGACAGTTCTGCTACTTGTATTGAATTCATTAAACAATACATATGTACTGCTTCGAAATGTCGGATGTATTCTAACAGACTCATTCACGGTTAATACTCCTTGTAATATCTCATAAAAAGGCGAATCTGGTCAGGAACATACATTATTAGTAAGATTGACTGTTTGCAGTTTCGTATATACTCTGCCATAAATTGACCACATCAAGTCACACTGACAGCATTAGTCCTATAAAACTACACGCGTTCTGCTTCAATATCCCTCTTTTTCTTTTAAACAAAGAATTAACTTTGCTTGTTGTCGAATTATTAAACTTGCAAAAAGGTAAAAAGACAATCATTTTTGCTCAAGAGAGACAATGGAAGGCTTTCTCTATGAGTATTTCTTTTATTTTATAAAAATAGACCATCATTTCATATACGCGCTGAAGTTTGTCTTTTTTTTGCTATGGTTTACTAGCTGCACTTTGCACTTGTCTAAAAAGAGAGTATTTGCCTATTTAAATCTCAGATCGAATTAAAATAAAAGAACTCTATCACTTTCCAAATAAAGCAAAGTAAGCCACTGTTACGTGCCTTTTAAAAGCATGGATTCAACAGCAGCCTTTTCATATTATTATTATTATTACAATTATTTCTATTTCTTTCCTTTCTTTCTTCTTTTATATACTTTTGTACATAAAGAAGCCAATTATATAACTTGTATAAACATAATCATGCCAGGATTTAGAGGTATCAGAATGGTCTCTTTTGATAAGGACCAGCAAAAAGTAGTTGTACGTTCACCACAAGCAGTAGAAGCAACAGCATGTGTAGTGTGGCCAGAACCAGCCATATCAATTCTAGTAGACATCATGGCCATTTTCTATAGACACATAACAAATGAGCCAAATCAAAGAGAGGAATATTATCAAAAGGCGTTTGCCGCATTGGCTTTTCATTTGATGCAACTTGAAAAAGAAAAAGTGATACCACCAGACTTTTTAGGAAATATGACAAAAGAAAAGATGCAGATGAAATGGCAAGAAATAGAGCATAAATACAGTAATATAGCATCATCATTAACACCTGGTGGTCCCACAGGTCAACAGATTTGGCCTTATTTTGACAAAGTAACATTTATTTTTCAAACCAGTCGTATCGTTCCGCCAGAGACTACTCGACACTCTGTGTCGGAGGGAGCCCTGGAAGAACCCAACACAACAAATCCTCCAAACTCTGTTACAGACCATATTCCCCCAACCAGCATTTCCATGCCATCTAGCCCTGCTCCTGTAACAGCTTGTTCTCCCGAGAATGGCACAGTATCGCGCTCTACGGCCACGTCAGAAACAGATCAGGCGCAGTTTAACCCCCATCAGGAATCACCAAAAGAACTATCTGAACAAGAATTTCGGAAAGAGATGCTTTGTCTGATGCGCAGGCGCGTAGAATTATTAGAAGAGCAAAAGGCAAGAGAAGATAAAAAACACGAAGAACGAAGAGAGATGATGGATCGCCTTGTAAACATCTTGGAAAAACTGGCTGACAAACTGTAGAAAGAACATTGCAATTTATTCTTTTAAAGCATTGCAGTAAAGTAGTCACCGCCCTCCCTTTCTGTCTGCTCTATCTGCAATGGACTCTTAATTTTTAAAGTCACTCCTCTTGCTGTCATTATTTGAATTTCAGCATGCAGACAGGGGACGACTGATGTGTAGTTGTAATATATAGAAGCACATAAGTTTTATTTTATGCTTAGGCTTAATAATATACGCTTTAAAAATATGTCCTTATAGATCATTTCTTTGGCAATGTGAAAGATTGTTTTGCTGTTATTGTTCATTATTTACGGTAAAATGGTGAATTGTCCGTTTAATGCAATCATATAAGAGTTGTGAGCTATTTATGTGGTAACACATTGTACGTTTGGTAAACTGCCAGCTGTAATACAGATTACATTAAAAAAATGCCATTTATCCAAGTCTTTCTTTCTTATTTCTCTTTCGCCTGAGGGCTCTCTAATTGTATCATGAGTACTATGCACTTGAAGACTGAGAGAGTTTCATAACGAAAGATCATCTACATATTGGTTACCAAAAGATGAAGATGAACAACTAAGATTCACTGGTGTATGCTTCAAGTTCAAATATGTAACCAATTTTCGTTTTTTTTTTTTTTTTTTCAGCAACATTTTGTTCTCAAGGGCCAATTTGGAGAGTATGTACAGATGTATTTAATAGACATATGGACTCGTCCTTTCTGTTATCTCAAATAGAAATATATTATCAAGCGCAAGGCAAGCATTGGACTTTAATAAAGAGTTGTCCATCTTGGACATAGGATGCGGATCTGGCGTATGGTCCATGGTACGTAGTAGTTCATAAAAACATCAAGGGTGATTAAACAAAGCAGCTCTAGGATATGTCTATTAAATTCCCAACTTGTTCATACTTTGGGTGTGATATTGTAAATGTAGTGAATGAAAAAACTCGACCAAAGAATTTTACGTTTGAGTTGACCAATGTGGTAAAAGGTTTACCTTATCCAGACAGTACCTTCGATTTTGTTTAAATAAGATACAGTTTTTTCTACAAGTATTGTTGCATAACTCGAAAATTTATAATACAAAATATACAAAATACGACATCTTTGAACGACATTACTTTCTGGAAATAGTGTATCTTATTTATGCATTGAAAGAAGAAGAATGGCCTATTGCCATAAAGGAAGCACTTCGTGTTATAACGACAGAAGGTTTCCTTCAGCTTATAAAACATGATATAAAGGGTTATTTCTTGCAAGAAAAACGATATCTGTATACTAAAAATGAGTTAGGATCACCATGGTGATAATGCCACTCATAGGTTTGCAGACTCAGGTAAGATGATATACTAAGTCATATGCTTGGTTTACGTATTTTCATTTCGTCTAGTGCACGTTGTTTCAAATTCTAGAGGACAGAATACTCGCATCGGAAAGGAATTGGAAAGAATGGTTGGAGAAGTAGGCAGTGCTGAAATAGTACAATCTGAATGCAAGCAGTGTAACATGTGCAAGTTTATTAAAATATAAAAGAGCTTTTTATTCACCTTCCTTTCAAAAAAGCTGATGATAATGGAACAGCAAAGAGATTTGCTTGGAGCTGGCATGAAGTAACAAAGGGTATGGTGCCTGCCATTAAGTCTGTCCTTGGATTAAAAAATGAACAGGACGAAGAAAAGTTCCTGACTGACCTTTGACACTCGCTAAGGATCGACGACTATGATTATATTGTTTATGCCATGCTTTCTCGTAAAGTTTAAAATTTAATAATAAAATATGCTTTATTAACTCTAATGGAAATGAGAAAATCTTCCCCAAATGGTTTGATACCTGTTTTCAATCTTGAAGACGTTCAAATAATCGTTAAAAGTGATGACAATCTGTAAGATGGCTTCTTCCAGAGCTAATGATTAATGTAAGTAACTATTTTGTACATATTTGGTTTGATTCTTACCCATCTTTACTGCCTCAACTTCTTCAACAACAACGGTTTCCTTTTGCATGTACTTTTCGATAGCTTCAAAGCATCCCAGCAGCTGATTTAATACCGTTGAAAGGTCATTTTGAACATATCCATAGCTGTCTTCCTTCAGTGAGGCTGCAGTTAAGCTACCAAGGATTTGAACAGCCCAAACGATTAATTGATACTTTTTAAACATTTCTTGAATGCGAGCTACTCTAGATTCTTGGTAGAATTTGATAAAATAGTTTTTGTACCCTGTCTTCATTTCAAGAGTCTTTAAGAAATCAGCAATATTGTTGACTCTGGTTGACAATTCGTTCTTTGCTTCTCGAATAATGGGATCTGCAGAAGGAGTGACTGATTCGACAAGTTCACCTGCTTGAAAAAACAGCGTGTTTGTACGGTCGTCAAGTTCATAGAGCTGCTTTTTAGGGGTAACGTAAATGTTGGTGTCATCAGCAAGCTGTAAGCGGTTACGTAGTTTTTGTTCTGTTGGTTTAATAATAGGAACAACAGGAGCCTCAACTGGAGAATAAAAGAGTTAATATCCCTAGAGAGATCAAAAAGTTTTCATCCTACCTGGTCGAATGCCTTTATATTCAGGATCAATAGACAATCTTAGCTCTTCGATCACGCGAAAACATTGGGTCATAACATGATACCACACACTTTCCCGTAAGTCTTTGCCGATATTACCAAACAATTCAACGCGTTTCTCAGGCTCCTTGCAAGCAAGTTGAGCAAGTTCGTTAAATGCTGATGCTTGAATGTTTGTATCCTCCTTGTTAGTAAGTCCATTCAAGATGAGTTCAAATCTGTTGTGGTATGGCTGTGTAGCTTGTACAGTCTATTATATTTGAATTAGAAGAGTATATAAAGTGATTTTTTTCTTTACTCTTGTGAAAATAGCATCAAATAGACGATTGGCAATATTCCAAACACTAGCAGTAATAATACCTGCCAAGATGGTTCTCGTGAACAGATACAAATTAATCCAGCGGAATCCAGTGATGGGAGAGTCCAGTACTCTATTGTGCAATGGTTAATGTTTCCTAACTAAACTAATGTACCCCTTTACCTATTGAATCTTCCTAATGTATAAGCCATGTGATAATAGATGTTTCCACTGAAAACAATGAAAATAGCATATGTGATCAAGAATGAGCAAAATGCTTCCTTGACGGAAGTGTACAAGGCTGTGGTTATATTTCCCTTCAGTTCATAAAATAAAGGTTGCTGAACGCGAGTGATTTTTGCAACGTGTCTTCTCTTTTCCAAGTAGCACATAGAGTATTTAACGGCTAATACAACTGCATACAAGGCAACAAAGATGCTCTTTTGGTTTAGTTGACGTACATCGATGTAATGTCTAATAAAATAGTGCTTAATTATTCCTGTCTATGATATTTTACTATTTCTTATTACCCAGTTGGTTGTTCGAATATATCATTTACATATTCTTCATCAAGAAGCAGAGAAAAGTAACTGCGTACAGTGATTAAACTTGCTAATGTGTATAATCCTGTAATAGTCCAAGTATCAGGGGAGGTGTAAGTAGCCAGGATGCGTGCGATGACAGTAGGATAGACATCTTCAAGAACTATATCAACATGTAAATATAATAAGCTTAATGAAATCTTCTTTTTTTTCTTTTACTTGTAAACATTGATGAACGTAAAAAATATACAATGCTGCCAGAGAGACACAATAAAGCTGAATACTGCACAGTTGTCCATGAAAAGAGATTGAGCAATGTAACTAAAAGGGTGATGAGTATTAATTGTATATTGACTTGATAGTTGCCTTACATGGATTAAAGGTAAATTTTGATTGAAGTAAACATGTCAAGAATAATGAAAAGCCAGCAAGGCAAGCAAAGAATTGCAGTCTACTTTGACTTGTACTTATATTGTAAGCATCGGTATATGTGTTACATTTTATTTCAGGCTTTTTTTCTGATGAGTCATTATATGTTGTGCTCTTCGCTGGTAATGAAGTCGTTTGTTGAGGAAATGGTGTCTGTTGCGACATGAATCAAAGAAAAGGCGCGTGCGCGTGTTTATAGAAAGAAACACGTATTATTTCTCTGGGGGAAGAGAAAAAGGTTTTTCTGTACGCTATTTTAAAACTCCGATACAGCCTGCACAATAGACACTTTAATTAATAGTTTATTCATTTCCAATGCATATATGTTTCTTTGGGTTTATTAATGTGTACAAGTATCATTTTTATTCTAATTATGCAGTTTCTTCAAATTCAACATATTCTTTCTTTGCCAAGTCTTCTGCATATGCGCTACGTACATGGGCAACCACATCATACAGATTTTGAAGACCAGTCTTTAAAGCATCAATGGCTGTTGTCTTGTCTATTACAAGAGGAAAAAGTGTGGCTCTTTAGTTGCCTTTTCGTTTGACCCTTTAATTAATCAATCTGGCTTACCTGTAGTCTGAATACGGAAATGCATTTTGGCTTCTGAAGGGTGGGGAAGAGAATAACCGCAAAAGTCAACGTTGGGACTGTTATCGATGAGAGAAAATAGAGGATGAATAAGTATATGTGTATGCGTATGTGTATGTATATATTGTTACTTTTTGTTTACAATGTGTCTTAGTGAATTGCCGAGGGTATGATCTTCTTCTTTAAAGCAAAATGTTAAAGCGGTTGGGTCACCATGAGCTCCTACCTAATAACATGTGTAAGTTATACTAGAAGAATTGGTTCATCAGTTCATTCTTACGATCTCTAATTTATCAGCAGCAGCAGTAACGTCGGGTTCTTCTTCTGCTTCTTCCTCAGAAGCTTCTTCTTCCATTTCTTCAACTTCTGAAGCGGAATCAACATCCATGTGTTCTTCTTGATCTCCTCTAGCAGCAGTTGTATTTTCTTCCTTAATTGCCATTTTGTTTGGTGTTTATGATAATGTGAATAACAAGCAGTGGAGACTTTTAAATGCTAAAAATCGTGACTTGGTTCCTGTAGTGGCTTGCAAGACTGACTTGGTTGGCTGTGAGGGAAGGTAATAAAGAGCTACAAGCTCTTTTTCTTAACTTGTCTGTTTTCATGATCATAATGATGGAGTTGACATGAATAATAAGAAAATTCAAAAAAGTCTGTGGCGTTATAGAAAGTGTTTTTGTAAAGGAAGAAAAAAAAAAGATAGAGTCAAAGAACAGCCATTCCAATAAAAATGTATAAAGACCTTTCTTTTTGCTTCTTTTTCTTTTCTCAAAGCACAATTTCTCATTTTAAAGTCTCACTTTTACTTTCATTGATTCAATTCAACAACTGCTAAATCCATAAAAAGTGTCAAATAAAGCTAAAACCACCTTCTCTCTCCATGTAATGCTGAGAGAACTTCAAGCATCACAACAAACATGACTGGATTTCAAAACATCCAATGATATCCTTTAATAATATATGAATTTATCTCCATTACAATAAACTTTCCAATTTACGTTCCGTTACATTCCATGAAAACTATTAAAAGGGAGCTTTTTTTTTTGTTCTTTCCCTCAGTAGGGGTTTGCCTTGAATAACGGTTCAGGAGGGAGGTCTACTTATTGCATAATTCTAGAGGCTATTCGTTGGAAGGAGTCTGGGAGTATTTATATTCTCAGGTTGAAGCGAAGCATTGTTAGTTCTGCTCTTTAACCAGGAATTTGGGAGGTTATTGCCTTTTTCTAAGGATAGACGCTGGTATACTAGTAATATTTACAATCATCGCATGTAAATGCGCTTGATATAAGTATCTATGATTATTAATATGATACCATATTGTTTGAAACGTCAAAAGGGATACTGTTGACTAAAATTTAAAAGGTGTTCATAAACCCAGATGAATCTGATGTATCCGATCTGATAAAAGGAAAAAAAAAAAGTTTTATTGATCACACGTTACGCATAACAAGCTTTATATGTATTCAGGTAACTTTTTCATTAAGAAATGACTTAATCCATAAGGGCCTACAGCGTAGAGTGCTTGAAGCTCACATTTATAGTCTGTTCTTAATAGTTCAAAAACTTCTTTTCTAGTTTT